CAACGCCGGGCGCTGTGCACCCCTAGACCTGCACACACTGAGATGGTGAACTGGTGCAGGGCGCAGACTTGACTCGCGCGCTCGGATTTCCCTGGCAGTACCGTACACGACGGTACAGGCCCTTTGTGATATAACCGTATGGTGCATGCAACGGGAACATACAGCAGCCATGGTGGTGGTGGTGGCCAGGCGCTCCGTCGACCAACTGGTCTCGACATCGTCACAAAGTGCAAAGGGAATAGAAGTTTTCATGAGCACGCTCTTTAGTCTCACATCAATGCTCTGTGTAAGAACTAGATATGCTCTGTTTATCTACCTCACTTTTTTTGCCCCCCCCCCCCCCCCCCCCCCAGTCCTGCCCAGCATTGGTTCCATTTTCACTACGTACCTGCCTCTTTTGGCTGCTTTAAATAGAGAACTGAAAAGAGAGGAACACTTCCCTGGAGAGGATAGCACGAAATTGCTGTCACGGATTGCGTGTCATTTTGCCCTAATACCCTGATGCCAGTGTCACCTACATCTCATGATGAATGAACCTCGGCTTCATCATCTTGCCCTCATGCAGTGACACCGTTTGCTCTGTCGCCGATGAAGCCAAGACGAGCGCAGGTGAACTGCATCGAGGACATGTTCAGCGCCATTGAAACCCAGGACTTCTACCAAGTGGAGGAGCTGCTGAAGGTACCAGGTCTGGATATCAACAGGTAGAGAACACTGCGCAGTCTTGTTTTGTGTTTGTCTCCACATGTCTCTTGGTAGAGCTGTGTTCCCAGTAAAAAAAGTCTTGATCTGCACTGACATATGATTAGGGGTTGTCGCAAAAGTTTTTCGTAGTCCCCGAAACGAACATCGTTCATTTCGAACTCGGACCCCCTCCCCTCCCCTCTAAAATGAACTCAGCTTGCTATGCTGGACGGCGAAAATCGCAGGCATGCACATGCACATATGTACAGTGTCGGTCAACTTGCAATTTTGGCTCGCAGCCCCTCCCCCCCCTCCCCCCCCCCCCCCCCGCACGAATGATGTTCGTTTCAGGGACGACAACAAGTTTTGCGCCGAGCCGACTATACCCCTGACTGCAGAAGGAGTGTAGACTCATGGACAGGTGATGTTTATATGCACTAATAAGTTAGTGGGCAGAACTGAATGCATTGAGAGATCAGGTCGAATGCACACCGACGCTTGGTTGAGATGACCCATCCCTGCTGAAGATATGTGGGTTAGGCTTACCGGTACGTCCATATGCCCAGGCCAAGGCTTAGGTCCAGGGGTGTCCGCATTGAATCATTGCATGATAGGAAACCATTGAATTACACATGATGACCCATCCTTGCTGAAGGTGGGTCGGTTAGGCTCCCATCCATCCGTGCATATGCCCAAGACCTACGTTCAGGGGTGTCCGCAATGAATACATGGTAGGAAAACAAAACATTGAATGATACATGATGACAGAGTCCACATAGCATGTTCCTGAGCCTGCAGGTTAAATTAACCATCCAATGTTCGTGTGGCTAAATTTTCGAGATATCTCGAAAAACCCGTTACTCCGAATCGCATACATTTTGATGGGGAAAGGCCATAGACAGGGCATATGTTGTCACTATTTCCACAAAAAATGCCAAAAAGAGTAGTAATATTTCCACTGAAACTCGCTCAAAGGCTGCCCGAAGTGCCCGTAACTTCAGGGTCCGGATAACCAATGTGTGAGTGCACTTGTTTTTTGTTTGTTTTTGTTTTGTTACGTTTGTTTAAAGCACACGGTCCTACTGATGATGTGGGGTAACAGTAAAGTGGGACAGAAGACTAGGACAAACAGACAAAAAGGGTAGGACATGCAAAAGCAAGGTGCAGGTGAGGCGAGTCCAGCTAGTCCGACCAGAGGTTGTTGTTGTTGTTATTTTTGGGTTGCTATCCTTGTGCAGTACAAACACCGATGATCACACGCCGCTGGATGTGGCGGTCATGATCGACGCCATCTCCATTGCCAAGTTACTGATGCTGCACGGTGCGCGCGAGAACGAGATGTGTAAGTGCAAAGGGGTGCACTAGGGCGCTTGTTCGGAGAATAGCTCCCTGATGGGGTTGGCGTCATTGGTACACCGTTCGTCAGTTAGCAAAACATTCGCACGTGAAAACTGTGATGCATAAGCTGTCACCAGAAACAACTAGAGATATGCACCACTCATTGTCTAGAGTCCAGTAGAACTGAGGAGTGCCAGGGGTTTTTTTACCGGCAAGTTGTCCAGCGCGAGACTTGACTGTATTGGTGCAAGCCAGACCAGGTGGCACTACTTCAAGTGGGCTGCCATATGGAGTTCACTCAGACTCTGTGTGACATCCAATTTCCAAGTATAAAAAAAAGCAGCATTACAAAGAGATTGCACTGCATTTCTTACCAGTCGGCACGGCTCACAATGCACATTCGTCTCCTCGCACCTTCAATGGCAAATGTTCTTCTTCTTGTCTCTTCTGCCTGTTCTGTATAGACCTTCGTAACCGGTATATCCGCAGTGTTCGTCTGACCACCTTGCTCAACGAAGCCCTGGAGGAGGTAGAGAAACTCAGCTATCAGCTACATGGCTTCGGAGCAGCGCCGACCATGAGCTCGACTGCCTTGTATTCCTCACCGAAAATAAAGGTTGGCGTTTGCCCCCCCCCCCCCCACCCCTTTTTGCACAAGAACACACACCCAGCTCAAGACGAAAAAAAATGAATACATTCATATTAATAAAGTTTCAAACAATACAAACAATAAGAGGACGGAAAAGTGTTGATTAAAAGTTTCTGTGGAGATAAGAATGATACTAACGCAATGAATAGGGCAAGTTGCGCACTCAGCACAAGAACCTTGAGGAACACTACTTGTCATATACATGTATGTTCCTTGCAAAGAGCTTTATTCAGACGGCCGCGACAACGCATTAATTCATATCAAAATTGCATTGAGGAAGAGGATAGCAGTCCAGAACTAAGATAGAGAAGTTCAAGTTTGACAGAACAAACCTTTCTTGATTAGGGATTGACTATCAACCAGTACAGCTGTGGAGGTGCCATATGCATGCTTTCGGCATGCACTGTACTGCCTGATGCCCCTCCCTTTCCTAGCAAGCAAGATGGTGTAAGTTGTGTGCGTGTGTGTGTATGTGTGTATGTGCATGTGAATGTGTGTGCGTGTGTGTGTATGTGTGTGCATGTGCATGTGCATGTGTGTGCGTGTGTGTGCATGTGTGTGCGTGTGTGCATGTTTATGTACACATACACGTACATATATGTATGTCCATGAACAGGAGGTTGAAGATCAGCTTCACGAACGCGAGCACAAGAGTCAAGTGCTGAAGCTGATGCTGTCCACATACGACAATGCCAGTACGTGTAGCAGCATGCTGACTCATTGTTACCATGGCAACACTCCTGCCTAACTACACTTTTTTCGTGCCGTGAAAATTATCGACAATGCCGTATTGCCCCTAATTCCTTGCCTGGCTGTTTGTGTTCGCTCTATAGAGCTGCCCGGTCCGCCGTCCAAGGTCACCGTGTCCGTGTTCTCACCCAGCGCATTGCGTGTCAGCTTCGATGAGCCGCTGCAGAGCAATGGAGCAGTGGTGACACGCTACAAAGGTAAGCGCTGGCCTAGGCCTATGGTCGGCTTGGCATCACCGCTCTTGTTTCAATTTGAAGTACAGTACTAAAAATCATAGAAATAAAATTTATTTAGCAACGGACTAGTGAGTGCATCGTGGAGTGGCGGCGTGACTGATGATCATTTTAAAACCTTGCTGGCAATTACAGGGGGGGGGGGGGTAAAAAGGGGAAATCCCCACTCCATTACATTCACGTTTGTTTTTACCACTTTTAAATACAAGTTAGTAGCAGAGGCGAGGTTTCCTGCAGCTTCATTCATAGGAAGTAGAACTAATGAAACGAGTTCCAACCCATTGCACAGCGAATGGGAAAAAGCGGGTCTGCTCTACACTACTTGTACTTGCATGTGTGTTGTCTGAAATCTATATTTTCACTATAGCCAGTGGCCAATAAGAGATAAAAGGTGTGCAAGAGGAGAATGTTGCTGCTGCTGCTGCTGTTGTGTATACAGTGCAGTGGAGCGTGAATGCCAACATGGCCGGATGTAGTGAGAAGGTGGTGACTGACCTGAGAGAGATGCGATACATCATTGATGACTTGACTGAGGTGAGTGGTGTGTGGGCGTGTGTGTGTGTGGGGGGGGGGGGGGGGCGTGTGTGTGTGGGTGTGTGGGGGGGGCGTGCGTGCGTGCGTGCGTGTGTGTTTCAAGTGTGTGTATGTGTTGTGCCTGTGTGTGTATGTGCGTTTGGATGCCTTCCATCATCGCTGCATCCGCACAATATTAGCCATCCCTCGCAGTCAGCAGCAATACGATCGCATCACGTCTGCGCAGTTACGTCGTCACTGGGGTGACCCAGTGCCACTCTCTGTTAAGATGCGCCATCGTCGTTTAGAGTGGCTTGGTCATGTGGCTCGGATGCCGGAGGACCGTGTCCCATTGCAGCTGTTGTTTGGTCGTTTGTTGGCTGCGCGCCCCTTCTGTGGTCCCAGGCGCAGGTGGAGAGACATTGTGGCTACTGACACGAAGTCCATTCCAAACTGGTTTGATTGCGCACAAGACCGGTCAGCTTGGCGAGAGCATGTTCTGGTTTTTCAGCCTCCTCGGGCAGTAGAGAAATCCGTACTCTGCTCATCTTGCAACCGGGCTTTCTCTCGTCCTCAAGACAGAGCACGGCACAAGTGTTTGGCTGAGCGCCAACTTCCCGTCCACCAACAGCGTGGTTCAGCACAGTGCGTCAGTTGCTGCCGATGGTTCCGTAGTAAGGGTGGGCTTGCAGTTCATCGCTGTGTGGTGCTTTCTTGCAGACTGGTTGGGCTTCTCGTGTACTTTGGATGTCAGTCGTGAGTTAGTCGTGTGTCAAGTCAGGACACTGATCATGAAGTCCGTGTAAAAATGTGTTTTGACTCCGTGCAAACTGTGTTTTGCTTGTTGTGTGTGCGTTGTGTGACGTGGTGGTTTTGTGTGTTGATTGTTGTGCTGTGCAGGGTACGCCGTACTACGTGTGCGTGCAAGCGTTCAACATGCAGGGCTATGGCCCGGCGCAGGCATCTTCTCCAGCACAGGCAGTACCGTCAGGTGAGAGTCACAGACATGTGAATACGACCAGAATATGTAGACTGGCACAATTTGGGCCAGCCGGGGAAGCTAGACAGAGTGGTCTATGGACCTAGAAAGGCGCTATATGGAAATAAAGGAGACAGTAGGCTATTGTGCTGGAGCTTTGAAGTGTGTTTAAGTGAAACTTTGAAAAGGTTCGCGCACTGAGCAATCATCGGACAGCGGTGCATGAAACCTGAAGTCACAGCAAGCCAGCCTACTGTCCAACGTATTGAGTTGGAAAATCTGGTACTGCTTTCCCTTCATGTTGTGCCCAGGCTGGAAGTCGGCCATGGACGGAGCGGCAGTCGTGGACCGTCTTGGCGCCACCGTGCAGTACAAGCACACGCTGGCCATGCTACAGGAGGCTTTGCTCAAGTCCAGCACTGCAGACTCAGCGGGTGAGGCACTGTATGAATGTCTTTGCATAAGGACACCTATTACACACCATGTACACTGGATTCTTTCCTGTGAGCACAGAAGGTGCTGTGCCCCTGCTCTGCCGTACATTCAAGTTATACGGCTGCGGTAAATGGTGACAACAGTAGTGGTGGGTAGGGCCCGGCGTAATATGCCCGAAACCTTGCCGAAAATGCTTTTGGGAAATTCTCGTAAACCTTGCCGAAAATGCTCCCAAACCTTGCCGAAAATGCTCAGAAAATGCTCACTTTTTTGCAAGAATCGCTCTCTACAGTATCTTCATCTTCATCACTGTCATCTGAAACACACTCAATAAGAGACTTGCTCGAGTCTGCCATGGTAAACAATTCATAAACTACTCAACAAGAAGCTAACCCACGGAATGCGGAAGTGACGTTCTTGTTTGGGAAGTTTTTTCTTCTCTCAATTTTGATACACAACGGCCAAGTGCTCCGTTTCCCCCAAAATGCTGCATCACGAGCCCAAAGTGCTGGGTTCGCGGATTGTACCGAAAATGCTCAAAAAATGCCGGCATATTACGCGGGGGCCTGGTGGTGGGAAAGAATTGACAAAAAGAGCGATGTTGGTACCAGCTCATACCACGCAAACCGTGTTAAGTACTGAACCCATCTGTGTGGCTATCGCGAGGTGGTCGGATTCCGAGAGACTCCACTGTATTTGGAAACTTCTGGTGAAATCAGGACTCGCTTGGCTGATTCCTGCTTGTCTTTATTTTCTCTCAATTACGCCAGCCCCCCCCCCCCCCCCCCCCCTCCCCACACACACATCTCCTATATCTGTCTCTATTTCTCATTCTCTCTTGCTCTATTTGTTTGTTTGTGAACTTCAAAAATAAGTATACATGCCGCGGTCGTCATCACATAACATGGAAGTCTCAATGGGTTTACCAGAATCGATTTTCTTGCCACGTTCATCAGTGGATATCCGTGGCCAAAGAATAATGCTGTAATGAAGAACAATATTATTCTTCGGTCACGACTATCCACTGACTTCCATGCTGTGTGGTAATGACTGCGGCGCTTATATTATGTATTGCTATTCTTAAATTGTTGTCTTTCTCTTTCTCTCTCGCCCCTGTGCACTTCTTCCCGCTGCTTGCGTGCAGAACAGAAGGGTATTCGCAAGAACTGGTTCAAGCTGTTCGGCGCACGGTTTACGCACACCCTACAGCCCAGGTAGGCGATGTGTAACGTAGTTGAATGCTGATCCGGCCAGCACGAAGAAATGGACAATAAAAGGGAGGCATCGCTGTACTGACGTCTACATTTACAGTAAAACCTGTCAAGGCGATCGCTCGGATAAGGCGACCAGCTGTCCTAGAAGATCACTAAAACTAGGACCAAGGGATGCTATTTCCAGTCAAATGACGCTGGATAAGGAGACCACCTGGTAACATAGACCACACTTTGAAGGTCCCTTGAGCGGTCGTCTTATACAGGTTGCACTGTATGTGGTAACTTGGCACTGGTGGATAGTGGTGTGGTATGGGTGATATCCTGTCCTGGCTAAGAGAATGAAACAAGGCAATAGATCAGAACGGTCTGGATAATAAGGAGAAAGACAAATTGGTACGAGTTGTGACCGGCGCTCCACCAGTGTAGCTAGATCTAACACAACTCTCTTTCCTCTTGTCCATGATTCGTATAGTATCGTATTCTGCTATTTTGATTTCATTTAAGGGGTCGTCCATAAATATCGAACTTTTTTCACAAAACGAAATAATTTTGTTATGGGGTGGGAGGGGGTTGACCAATTTCGTTTCAGAAAACATTGATACATGTGCATGGTCGTAGGAGCAGTTACACACTTGCAACTGTTGTTGTATTTATGCATGCATGTCAACATTTTTTACGTTCTAAGGGGGAGGGAGGGAGGGGTTGGGTCTAAACTAAAATAATTCGTTTGGTGAAAAACGTTCGATAATAACGGACGGCCCCATAGCAAGTACAAACAGTTACATGCCCAATTGCATGACGGCGAAGGCAAGGCCTTATCCTCACCCTTACATCTTAACAGTTGAGAGCATTCTGCCATTGCCTACATGTATGTGTTCCAGGTGTCTGTATCTGGCCATGGTGTTTGTAACGGACAACGGGCGTATCCTGTTGACGATGGATGGACATTTGCCCATATTGCTGGTTGACGACGGCACGTGTTTCCGACCATCACAGAGCACTGCCGACATCCTCTGGTTCTTGAAAGTAAGCACGATTTTCTTCTACTGTAAAACCGAAAAACTTCGGTGGAGATTTCTTTTCGGTAACTTCGGTACAGGTACAGGTAATTTTTTACCTGAAATAAAACGTGACCTAAAATTCAACCATGCCAAGCCACACAGTGTGCAAAATGCATTTTTGGATCTGGAAAACTGGTTTGGCGAAATTTTCGTGCTACCGAACCGTTGATTTTGGGAAATACTGAAAATATTGCGCCACCAAAAATTCCCGGTTTTACGGTATGAGTGCCCATGGTCTCCAATGTGGTTAGAATTGAGGAGCTTAAGGGGGTAGACCTAGAGTGCTCGGTGGACCTGGGGTCTGGGTTTCATAGTAAACTAGATGTACTACTATCATGGAAAAACAAGAGGAGATGCGAGAGGGGGAGGAAGAACGCTAGGCATGACGCACATGAATGAAAAGTAAAAGACAATGGCTCGTGTGAACGAAAAGCATCGGGGTCGATAATGATGCATGCACGCGTCCTCTTGCAGTGTCTTTGACATTGAGTTCAGAAGGAGCAGGTTCTCTTGCAGTGTCTGAACACGTTGAGTTTAGAGACTGTGCCACACACGTTGACGTTAGCTTCGTGCAGTGAAACTTTGGTATAGCTTGCCTCCCATGGCCGTACAAATCTGAACTCCATAGCCAGGGCGCAGCTATACGCGGGCAGAGAACTTTTATAAAGAAAATACCATATTTTCTAGAATTGGGGCCGACATTTTATGACCGACTATCTGATAAGCACTGCATCGTTTCAGGGACTCTGTGCGGACTTGTTTCAATTTGGGTGAGATTTTAGTTAGGGCTTTCAAACTACTAAGCGCCCCCGGCCAGTATTGCCGAAAATACGGTAAGTAGTGACTGGCTGATTTCCGTTGCGCTGTGCTATGAATGTATCTGTAGGTTGCCTCGTCCTGGCAAGGCATTCACCAGCTGAAGGAGGCACTGTCGGCGGTTTCCACGGCAACCAACTCCGTGTCGCTGCGCTCGAAGCTGCTGGCCAGTGTGATCCAGGCGCAGCTGTCTCTGAGTCACATGACCCTGGGTCAGCTGCACCACCAGGTGTTCACAGACACCAGCGGTGTGGCTGTCATGGCAACCGTTTTGCACGTGGATGTGAGTACACTTCAGGATAATAGTGAGACTTGCTTCTATATTAGTGTAGATACGACAAGTGTTATGTGTGCGGTGAAATGGGCAGAGGGAGGAGTCCACATATTTAGTTGTGCCACCATGCCACCCAGCACGAGTGCCCAACCAAGCTGAAGCGAGGAAATGCACCTTCTATGCATCCCTCCCTCCATCCATCCCTCCATCCCTCCTTCCATCCATCCATCCATCCATCCACCCAACCATCCATCCACCCAACCATCCATCCATCCAGATGCTATATTGTTCCCAGCATGGCAGCACCCACGACTACTGCTGTAACTGATGATCTTCTCTTTTCTCATGCATCCTGCATGGTGTTGTTCCTCGTGCAGAAATCACACACATCCACCGCCAGCCTGCGATGGGTGTCCTTTCAGCGGTTCTTCCAGAAGCGGGCGGCACCGCCAGCAGAGACGGCAGTCGGCAACGGCAACTCTAGCTCTGCTAGTCTCAGTGATATGACTCTGCTGCCAATAGGGACGGTAAGCCGAGTACATGAAATACTACGGGGTGAAAACGGGTATTTTTAGCAGGAAAACCCTAGCCAGATTTCCAAACCAGCCGGATTTTGCAATGACAAGTTTAGTGACTAGAGCCTGAAGTTAAAAAGATGGCACTGTGAGTTCCGATCCAAGGAGTGTAAATTCTTATCTGGCTCGCGAAAACTCTCCTATCATGTTTGTGTGTACATAGTGACTATTACAAGAAGTCATCTAGGTGTATTAAGAACTCAGATGGTGAGCCAAGGAAAAAAATTGTAACATGGAAAAACGTGGGCACAAGTTATGCGATCGAGTTCACCAACTAAACCAGATTTTGAACAGTCAGACGCGCACAAGGTAGCACAAAACTGACAAGGAGTAGTCTCTTACGTGTGCATGCCTGCTGATGGTTGTTCCCACTGGATATTGTTTCCACTGGATATTGTTGCATCACTACATATCAGTAGTACTCTTAGCAAGAGTACTAATATGCCGATGCATGCCAGTCCGACTCTCTCTATCTCTATCTCTCTCTCTCTCTCTCTCTCTCTCTCTCTCTCTCTCTCTCTCTCTCTCTATCTATCTATCTATCTATCTATCTATCTACTTCAAGTATCTCTCTCTCTCTCCCTCCCTCTGCCCTCTCTCTCTCTCTCTCTTTCAGTGTGACTAATGTTACAAGTGTTATGTCTGAAGCATGTGTGCTGCCTTCGATGGTTTTCCCGTCTGGTCAAATGTGCTTGTGACATAACATGTCTCCTTCTGCTGCTTTGAGTCTTGCATGCCTTGATGGTTTGAGTCTTGCATGCCTTGATGGTTTGAGTCTTGCATGCCTTGATGGTTTGAGTCTTGCATGCCTTGATGGTTTGAGTCTTGCATGCCTTGATGGTTTGAGTCTTGCATGCCTTGATGGTTTGAGTCTTGCATGCCTTGATGGAGATGGCGACATAAGAGGTATAGACATGCGGTTTTCGTGACAATGATGTCAAGCTACTCTGTATCCCGTGTGACTACGTGTGTTAGAACCTGGTACCGGCTAGGGCGCCAGCATCCCCTACGCCTCGGACTGGTGGTCCACTGAGGCACGTCAATGTGTTCAATTTCAGCCAGGTGAGATCGGTGTACTGCATGGCTGTGTTCCTATAATTTTATGTGCGTGTGGATGCGAGCGTGAAATTATTACGGTGCAAAATCCTGCATCCTGGGCACTTCTGGGCGAAAAAGTGGACCATTTTTTCGCCCGTGTGTGTGTGTGTGTGTGTGTGTGTGTGTGATTTGTGTGGGGTCCGTGTGTTGTGTGTGTGTGCATGTCAGCTTGGCAGAAGATTGTTGCACTCACTGCTTCAAAGCCTTCCTCATGTCCTTCATACAACCATTCAACCAGGGTGTTTGTTCTTCACAAGTCGCACTGTAACGTAGACGAGGAGGACTGCTCACCTGTCCTTCAGAAAACGGCTTTTCTATCTCTTTTTTTTCTCAGCCGTATTGTCAAGAATGTGTTTTCTGTTGTTCACCGCTCTGCTTGCACAGCCAACACCGTTGTATTCACAGCTCATCAGACATCTACCCGTGAGTAACTGCTCGGTGTTTAACTTCTGTGAAAGACCGTAGCTGGTGTCCTCCTGTTGGAGAGAATCCAGTGGCGCACTACGAAGTACATTCAGCTTGCAGCATGGCAAAACTCATATCAGATCTCAGACTAATGTACAGTCAAACCTCTCTAGTACGAACTCCAAGGGACAGATTGTATTTGCTCGCAACAACAGGATTTCTTCTTGTTCATATGTTATACCCAATGAATGCTGGTGTGCAATAAAAGCTCAGATGGTGAGCCAAGGAAAAATTGTAACATGGAAAAATGTGGGCACTAGTTATGCGAGCAGTGCTCAAGCTGACGTTCATGCCGTGGAATGTCTCAGTACTGCTTGTCAGTTCTGTGCTAGATTGTGCACGTCTGACTGTTCAAAATCTGATTTAGTTGGTGAGCTTTGTTTGTGAGCTGTTCATTTTTTCCTCTGTGTGTGTGTGTGTGTGTGTGTGTGTGTGTGTGTGTGTGTGTGTGTGTGTGTGTGTGTACGTGTGTTGCCCTGTGTGTGCAGAACATGGTGGAATTCAGTGCTCACAGCTCGTCCCTGCCACCTCGGTAAGCCCTCCTTGCTCTACCAGTATTCATCACATGCTGATGATGTGTGGATGTATCTGGGTACACACAGATACAGCAACGGCTGCTGGGATAGCTGAAATACTGTAATTTCACAAGTATTCGGTGTACTTTTATTTTTGGTACTTTCGGTTCATCTGTTTCATACCTAAAATTTCAATAAACCGAACAAACACTAACACACGTAAGCCAATAGGGAACTGCTTCTCTGAACCTAAAATTTCTGTTCACCTAACCTAGCCTTTTGCCCTCATACCGAAAATATTGAGCACCTAAAATTTCTGAAATTGGAGTAGCCTCCTCGATAGTTCTCGATAGGCTCGATAAAAAAAGAAGAAAAATATTCACAGTTCGCGTGAGATTCGGCTGAAGACCGAATTTTCCGCATCCACTGGGACGCCACCACCCTCAAAACTCAAGGCGCAGATGCAGCTTCTTAAGCGGTGGGAGGTGAGTAGATCAGACCCACCACCAAAGCGGTCAAAGACCGAAAATCCCATTCGCTGCATCCATGTTTCATATATGATAGGCTCGATATGCTAGCATTCAGTTGAGCGCTGTAGTGCTGGATAGTGCTGGATAGTGTTGATGGGCTCGATAGTGCTGGATAGTGTTGATGGGCTCGATAGTGTTGACGGGCTTCATAGTGCTGGATAGTGTTGATGGGCTCGATAGTGCTCACTGAGCACAGAGCATTTCACACCGTGAAACATGAAACTCTTGTGTTCCGACAAGTTCCCAGTGGTCCCTTGCCTTACTCGTATGTCACATTTTTGTTACCTTTTGTTTTGATGCCCATCGCCGGAGGCGATGATAGCAATGCTATGGAGGACTGGATGACTATCATCATCTCCACTTGACATCTCCACTTGACCATCTTCTACATGTCTGTATATACCATTCCCTTTCTCTCTCTCTTTCTCTCTTTCTTTCTTTCTCTCTCTCTCTCTCTCTCTCTCTCTCTCTCTCTCTCTCTCTCTCTCTCTCTCTCTCTCTCTCTCTCTCTCTCTCTCTCTCTCTCTCTCTCTCTCTCTCTCTCTCTCTCTCTCTCTCTCTCTCTCTCTCTCTCTCTCTCTCTCTCTCTCTCTCTCTCTCTCTCTCTCTCTCTCTCTCTCTCTCTCTCTCTCTCTCTCTCTCTCTCTCTCTCTCTCTCTCTCTCTCTCTCTCTCTCTCTCCAGTGGTCTCTACGTCGCTCTACTAGCTCTGCGCACTACCATAGCAACCATGAGCGTGTGCGTCTCACATTCCTATCCGGCAATGCTGCCTCACGTCAAGATCTCCGACAATCCCAATGTCTCGAAGTGAGTAATGACTGCGAAAGATGCAAGTCACCTGTTCCGCAAATGAGGAGTTACACAACTGCTTACAATCTATGTGTCCATGTGTGTCCATGCATGTGTGTTCATGTGTGTGTTTGTACAGAGATGAATGGCGGTGGATACAAATGCTACTGCAAGGCAAGGTATGTGCGGATGACCCGTTCACGGACTGATCTTCCATTCTTCTTTCTAAACTCTTCAGTTAGCTCACATGTCTACTGCATATCATGGGGGGAGACTCTAAAATTCAAATAGAAATTAAACAACTCGTGATGTGGTGTGCTTTATCCATGTTGGACATTGTTCTGAGCAAATGACTTGTGTTTACAGAAGGCGGCATTCCGTGTGATGACAGAGAGAAGCAGGGTTGACTGCACCATGTGCCTGAACGGCTGAGCGGTCCCAGCAAGTTTCGCGTCCAGACTGAGTTGCGAGCGCTCGTGCGACGTCACGTTTCTCACTTCATGACTTGGAGCGGAAGTGTGTACGCATTTTCGTTTTGCAGAACCTCTCTAATGCGAGTGGCTAATCAGTGGCTTGTCCACCAACTCTCTGATCTTGTGCACAGCAAGGGGAAGTACTGCAGGATCGGTCGCAAGACGTTGCCGTGGCATCGGGACGGTCCTTTCAGCAGAGACTGGCCCGCGCCGCCTCCCGCTTGTACACACAGTATACGGGCTCGTCGGAGGACACCGAGTTCTTGGTACGTGCACAGCTAGCCCTGGGTTGAAGATTGTGGCGTGTTCGCTTCTATCCCTCCCTGCTGTGGCTCAGCTTCTTCTTCTTCTTGTAATAAGCCCATTGCGCAATGACGTAATTTGTACCATAAACACCCCACACAGCCACCTGGGCATGGTCGTTTGGGGGTGTTGAACAGTGCATTGCTGATCCCAGTGTACTCACATAACACCCCGCACAGCCACCTGGGCATGGTCGTCTGGGGTGTTGAACAGTGCATTGCTGATCCCAGCGTACTCACATAACACCCCACACAGCCACCTGGGCATGGTCGTGCGGGGTGTTGAACAGTGCATTGTTGATCCCAGCATACTCACATGGGGTACGGTGGGTAATGGGTTCGAGCCATTGCCAGGCGCCAATGTTTCGAAAGAAAGGGATCCACGAGCGGGATTCGAACCCAGCAACCCTGTCTTTCCGGGACAGCACCCTACCGATTAGGCTACCGGGCATCACACACGCACGCACACACGCACACACACACACACACACACACACACACACACACACACACACACACACACACACACACACACACACACACGTGGCTCCTTGCTACACTATGATGATCGTTGCTATGGTGATGTGTACTATGCTGGTGTCTGCGATGATGATGGTTGCTACGCTGATATGTGCTAGTACTGTTACGATGATTTCTATGGTGATGTGTGCTATACTGATGTGTGCTGTGGTGACGGTTGCTATGTCGATGTGTCCATCCCCCATGCAGAGCACACACTATCTGTACACGGCGGAGGTAGTCCACGTCTCGCCGGACATCAGCTACGTGCTCATCATCCCGTCGCTGCAGGACATGGTACTCGCACCCGGACAGGACCACTGCTTTGATCACAGCGGCGACGTCATGTATCTACCACTGCATTACTATGAACTAAGTGAGTCATGGACAAAAGTTCACTAACAATTTCAACAAGACTTAGTGTTGACTTGTTAGTGAACACAGAATAGACCTGCTTGAATCCTGCTCGTTCACACTACACCACAATAATGATGTCATCCGGGAAGTGTTGCCGTGCAGCAACCCTTTTGGGCTGCATACTCTGCGTTTCATGCACTCTTGCTACCACCTAGAGCCTTCCATTTATTTGTAATCCTCTGACAATGTTGCTCATAACATTTAACCATCTGGGAAAGTATTGTAACACCATGTAACTTTGTGCCACTGTTGGTCGAAAACAGAATTCTACTCAGTGACGAATGTAGAAGTAAAAGTGGGGAGGCCTGCAGTTTCATGAACAGTTAAGAGTTGAACTAGTGCAGTGTTTTAATGGAAGAGAGCGTGTGGGCTCTACTCTTAACTGTTGACAAATGTATGCACGGTTAAAATGATACTACGCGTCTGTTACGTACCGTAGAACGGCTAATTCTAGCGGGTAGAAATGTCAGCGTTTTCTGAATCGGGACCCATTCGCGATGAAATATTTAGCGATCCGAGTTTCAGAGTTTAAACAGAATGAGGATGACTAGTATTGTACTGTACATGCAAACATTTCAATTGGTGCAGCAAAACTTTAGCGAAAACACTCCTTTCGCCAAAATCACTAAGATATCACCGGCGCTAAAAATAGCAATTTTACAGTACAGTAGTATGAATGCGGGGCGGGGCTATGCTGCTTGTGTTGACTTAACGGGTTATCGTGTTGTTATCGTTTGTCTGTTACAGTGTGTCATGGCACGTTTCTGCCGGACGTCATGCCGCACATTTCACGGCTGGCGGCGATGAGCGAGGTCCGAGTGGTGGCAGCGCAGCAGAAGCAGAGAGAGGTGAGTCGCTCAGGGTAATAGCAACAGTTACTGCTGCTATTCCATACCTACCGACCATCCCGATTTGGCCGGAACCGTCCCGATATCGACGGTGGTGGCAATAAGCACCCAAAAGTGCCTTTGTCGCGTGCCTCACAGTTACGTTTGTATACATGTTCATAGCTAGGTTGCAAGGTATGTCATTGTCCCGATCTCAGGTTTGCAATGGGGCTGGCAGGTGTGATAGTCTAGGTCTGCTGTGTAGCAGATAGGCCCTATGACTCATCGTTTCTTCTTTTCTCTTTTTTTTCAAATAGGCACTGGCATGTGACTCTAGAGCAATCACATCTCATCAAATGATCGACTGGACTGTGATTCTGAGTTTCGTGTGCAGGGCAATTATCAGGCGGCTTTGGTTGGCTGTATCAGAACTGTGTTGGTGGGAAGTGTTTGGAGGGGGTACTCAACTCTTCATTTTTTTGTGAATCATTTGATCGTACCGGTGGTCTTCTTCTTCCGCAAGAACTCTTGACTCTGGTGTCCTTAGTGTGTCAGTATCTGTGTGCGTGTGTCTATGTGTGCGTGCGTGTGTGCACCTAGGCATTCTCAATGGATGAGGTGCGCGCCGCTCAGTCGGAGTCCGATCACCTCAACACCATGTCCAAAGTCAGTAGTCACCGTGCCGCAAACCTCTAGCCATGTACATTATACCTGTGCCTGTACAGTCAACTTCGCTTATAACCACATTCGGCGGGGCATCCAAAAAGTGTCCCAATATTCGCGAAGTGTCGTTATACCCGAAGTCTCATTACATATATTACAGTTGGAAGGGACTTTGCTCTGGGCATGGAAATTCTGTCGTTATTCGCGAATTGTCGTTATATCCGCAGTCGTTATTCGCGAATTGTCGTTATATCCGCAGTCGTTATTCGCGAATTGTCGTTATATCCGCAGTCGTTATTAGCGGCGACGTTGACTGTATATGTACATGTACTGTGTCCACCGTGGACATAGAAAATAGTGTCCACCGTGGACATAGAAAATAGTGTGCACCGAAGTACAGTCAATCTTGGATATAACAACAACCCGTGAAAAACAACACAATCTTCCGACATAGTGATCACTTGACTGCATACTTTGACCCCCGTGGTTATTAAGGACAGCTCCGGAATAACGGCGTTTTTTTCTCATGCGCAGTCGAGAGTCGCCATTCGCTATAATAATAATATCGCAAGTGTGGCTGTAAATTGATGATGTCGTGATTTTATAGGAGTTGATTATTGGTTTTCATTCTGTGCTTACGTGTGTGCGTGCGTGCGTGTGTGTGTGTGTGTGTGTGTGTGTGTGTTTGTGTGTGTGTGTGTGTGTGTGTGTGTGTGTGTGTGTGTGCATGCGTTTGCGTGCGTGTGCATGTGTATACCTGCACATGCGGGTATGTTTTTCGGTTTTCACGTGTGCTTGTGTGTTCATGCAGAAACTTGACACGATATGGAAGGAGTTGCTCTGGATTAACAACGTCCTGGAAGCAGGACGCTCATCGTCGCAGAATGTGCGAATTGCGTTGCGTAGCTTGTACTCTAACCCAGTTGCTGGTCTGTGCAATATCAGCAAGTCCCTGCCTCTTGGTCACGGACAAACCCAGCAAGGTACGAATGAGCACAACGTAGTCAACATAGTCAACGTAGTCAATAATTACCGTACTTCCCAGAGTAAAAGCCGTGTGTGTCTCACTGGTGTTGCAATTTCTGTAGCTCGTCTTCCCCACAGATGGCCCAGAAACGAAAGCACTGATATCGATATTGTGAACTTGAAGGCACGGACCACAGCTTTCTTTGTGTTAAGTCATTTTGTCTAGGCTCATAATAAATTTCAAATCCAGTGATGGAGGTGGGAGGGGAACAGGTCTGTGTTTGAATGTGCGTGTGTGTCTGTCTGTCCGTCTGTCTGTATCATGCTATGTGTGCTTGTCTGCTTGCCTCTCTGTGTTGGTGTGGTTGTCTCACTGTGCCTGTGCCTCAGTGTCTGTCTCTGTGTGTCCGTTTCGGCGTAAGCTTGATATCCATACGACAACAGACCAGCACAGGTCCAGGCAAGGGAATAGTGAAAATGCACTGGCTGATAGGCGGACCACATCACAGAAACAGGACTACAGTCCATTCAGAAAAGGTTGAGCGCTGGCTCTGGAGAGCTCCCGTGTTTGGCGATTTTGTGGTGCACTGTGCAGTGCCGCGCGATTCGAAACTTGAAAAAGGGTCCAAAAAGGCACCTCAAATGGGGTTCGAACCGCAAATGTACTGTTATGCAAGTGGAGTGGATTTTCATGGTTTTTACCCAATTCAGTGCTTTGGGGGCAAAACCTGGCCGAAATCCTATTCTTGTTATGGCTTGCTTTTTGGAGAAATAGACTTCAAAAACACAATTGGAAGAGCATTCCATGGGGGATTGCCAAAAAAAAGGAGACGAAAACTCAAAATTATTATTTGACCCGTTTATGGCCAAAAGCTAGGATATCAATCTTTTTCTGAATGGACTGTAGACTGATTGATACTGATATATTTCTAACGTTTCGACGATTGTCTCCTTCAGAATGATAATGATTTGCTGTGTCCATATCTCTGTGCATGTGTGCATTCTGGTGTGCGTGCGTGCGTGTGTGTGTGTGTGTGTGTGTGTGTGTGTGTGTGTGTGTGTGTGTGTGTGTGTGTGTGTGTGTGTGTGTGTGTGTGTGTGTGTGCGTGTGTGTGTGTGTGTGTGTATGTGTGCATTCTTGTGTGGGTGTATCTGTGTTGTACCAGATGGTGAGAGTCACACAAAGCTAGCCAACGCAATGTCCTGGCACGCGTCCACCAACACCAAGTCCGCCACTATAGGTGGCACCGGCCAACGCGATGGCAGTAACAACGGGCAAACCAATGCGGATACGGCAAGCGGTGGAATTAGAGCCTTGCGCTCGACGGGGGCCAAGCGACCCCTGCAACCGACACTGAGCTACGACAGTGGCGTCCCTAGCAGGGATGAACGAGAAAGCGGAAACTCGTCCAAGGACCTCGCCAGCTGGATAGACGTGCTAATGGACGGCGATGATAGCCACCGCAACCACCACCGGGCTGGAGGTGAGCGCGGTGGTGGTAGTGCGGCCATGAATCCCTGGAGGCTGCGTCACGAAGACGACGAGTTGGCGGACGACCGATACGACTCCGCGAGGACGCCGTGCAACGCCACGCCGTTCCTCGCGGACATGTCCTCCTCTCCGTCGCGCTCGCGCTCCAGTAGTCGTGGTAGCAGCGCGACGGGAGGCGATGCGGCACAGCTGTCTTCGGCCGACACGAGTCCCAATGCTCCTGCTGCGGAGAAGCTCTTCCCCCGCCGACCGCCGGCCGCAGTAACATCAGTAGCAGTGCAGGCGATTGCCAAGGCTAGCCTGACACATTCTCGTTCCGTACCCGTCACTCCGTCCGCCGGTACTGCATCGTCGTCTCCGACTTCCTCCTCGCAGCAGCACAAGTCTGGGACACACCCGCCATCGTACACTCCCTCGCCGCCGTATCGACCGGAAAGCGCTGCACGGTCATCAAGCGCGGACGAAACCTCTCGCTCGACGCCGCACAGGAGCGAGCACCACTCGCATTCGCCAATCGGTCGTCGGCTGTCTGATCGGCGCAAGGGGCCGCGCCTCAAGCTGCCCAGTCTGCCGCGCTCGCCCGTCCTGAACAAACGCAGCCTCAACAAAACACCCTCGTCGCCGCTCCTCTCGTTCGTCTCGAGAGAAGCAAAGCATCCGGCATCGTCCGGCAGCACGCCACCTAAACCGTCCAGCCACGCCGACCTCAAGCAGCGCAGCGCTTACTCCCCGCGCACTCTAGACTTCTCCCCCTCCTCCGGTGCCGGTGGCAACCGCAACACCACCACCACCACCACCAGCACCACCACCACCAGCAGCAGCAGCAGCAGCAGCAGCAGCAGCACAGCAAGTACCCGTAGAGAAGGTGAGTGAATTGGGTACTGTAAAACCGGAAAGTCTAACGAGTCACGAGGTCTAACGTTTTAACGACCAATCATTTTTTGTTATTTGAAAAAAAACGTTATCGCTAAATGTCTGTGCAAAGATGCGCATACAGATGGGTGGCCAGGTAGCCATTGTTAACCTTCTTTGCACGTAATCATACCAAAATTACAAAACTTTAAACTTTACTGTTTTACAGTATGGCAGAGACTGCGCCACTGGTGCGGCCATGGCCGTACCAAATTTTTTTACCAATTCCAGCGTCCATGGGCTGCTCAGTGTGCATTGGATTATTTGGAGATGCTAGTACTAAGCTATCCTCATACACTCTTCGCTAGATCCTCTCGCTCCGAAATTGTTCTTCTTGTCCAGTGACATCAACAGCGCTAGCTGTCATACTTGTTATTAGGGGGATGTGTAGCTGAAACAAACAGATATGATGCATAGAGCTAGAGATGTATCCTCCCAGGATTTTGAAATGGGCAATAATGGTAATGTGCCGAACCACCAGTTCATCCCCCCACCCCCGCCCCTCTCTCTCTCTCCCGCTCTCCTTCCTACTGTGTGCTCCGAGAACATTTGATCAGGAAATTTCAAATTCCAAGTGTTAAAAGATGCCACTAGATCCGGTGTGTTGAACATGTCATATCATACTCAGATCGCAGCAAATCGAAGTCTCTTGCTCTGCAGTGAGGCTCGTCCCACCTGTTTCACCGGTGTAGGCAATGGCATTCGAAAGGCTTTGACACCGCAGAGAAATTGAGCAGCTTGGCAAGGTGGGATTCAGTTTCGAGGCTCCTCACTGGTATGGAAATGGTAGATTATTCATTAGTTTTTCAAACTGTATACGAGCGAATAAGGCATAGAAATTGCGGCATATAAAATCACTACAATAGTCATGTACTTTGTAGACACTTACAGTTGAACATCTATTATCCGCACATCGACTATCCGACCATTCGATTATCCGTAACAGTTTTTTTGGGCGCACGTGCCGTAGAGTACGCACTGTGCATGTAGTGAGCGATTCAAAAAATACGAAAATTTTGAAAAGTAAAAAGGTCGTACGTGTACATGTACATGTTTCTTATCCGGAACATTTGCCTTATCTGAACACCGCCTGACAGTTGTCTGCCCAGAGGTGGTCGGATAATCGATGTTCAATTGTACCTCATCAGTACTACTACAGTAAAACCTGTCAAGGCAGCGACCACTCGGATAAGGCGACCACCTGTCCCAGAAGACCACTGTAACCAGGACCAAGGGATGCTATTTGCAGTCAAATGACCCTGGATAAGGAGATCACCTGGTAACAGAGACCACATTTTGAAGGTCCATTGAGCGGTCGTCTTAGACAGGTTTCACTGTACAAGTATTCCTTGTTGTGTTGCTGTGTTGCTGTGTTGCTGTGTTGCTGTGTTGCTGTGTTGCTGTGTTGCTGTGTTGCTGTGTTGCTGTGTTGCTGTGTTGCTGTGTTGTTGTGTTGCTGTGTTGCTGTGTTGCTGTGTTGCTGTGTTGCTGTGTTGCTGTGTTGCTGTGTTGTTGTGTTGCTGTGTTGCTGTGTTGCTGTGTTGCTGTGTTGCTGTGTTGCTGTGTTGCTGTGTTGCTGTGTTGCTGTGTTGCTGTGTTGCTGTGTTGCTGTGTTGCTGTGTTGCTGTGTTGCTGTGTTGCTGTGTTGCTGTGTTGCTGTGTTGCTGTGTTGCTGTGTTGTTGTGTTGCTGTGTTGCTGTGTTGCTGTGTTGCTGTGTTGCTGTGTTGCTGTGTTGTTGTGTTGCTGTGTTGCTGTGTTGCTGTGTTGCTGTGTTGCTGTGTTGCTGTGTTGCTGTGTTGCTGTGTTGTTGTGTTGCTGTGTTGCTGTGTTGCTGTGTTGCTGTGTTGTTGTGTTGCTGTGTTGCTGTGTTGGTGTGTTGTTGTGTTGCTGTGTTGCTGTGTTGCTGTGTTGCTGTGTTGCTGTGTTGCTGTGTTGCTGTGTTGCTGTGTTGCTGTGTTGTTGTGTTGTTGTGTTGCTGTGTTGCTGTGTTGCTGTGTTGCTGTGTTGTTGTGTTGTTGTGTTGCTGTGTTGCTGTGTTGTTGTGTTGCTGTGTTGCTGTGTTGCTGTGTTGCTGTGTTGTTGTGTTGCTGTGTTGCTGTGTTGCTGTGTTGTTGTGTTGCTGTGTTGCTGTGTTGCTGTGTTGTTGTGTTGTTGTGTTGCTGTGTTGCTGTGTTGCTGTGTTGCTGTGTTGCTGTGTTGCTGTGTTGCTGTGTTGCTGTGTTGCTGTGTTGTTGTGTTGCTGTGTTGTTGTGTTGCTGTGTTGCTGTGTTGTTGTGTTGCTGTGTTGCTGTGTTGCTGTGTTGCTGTGTTGTTGTGTTGCTGTGTTGCTGTGTTGCTGTGTTGCTGTGTTGTTGTGTTGCTGTGTTGCTGTGTTGCTGTGTTGTTGTGTTGTTGTGTTGCTGTGTTGCTGTGTTGCTGTGTTGCTGTGTTGCTGTGTTGCTGTGTTGCTGTGTTGTTGTGTTGCTGTGTTGCTGTGTTGCTGTGTTGCTGTGTTGCTGTGTTGTTGTGTTGTTGTGTTGCTGTGTTGCTGTGTTGCTGTGTTGCTGTGTTGTTGTGTTGTTGTGTTGCTGTGTTGCTGTGTTGCTGTGTTGCTGTGTTGCTGTGTTGCTGTGTTGTTGTGTTGCTGTGTTGCTGTGTTGCTGTGTTGCTGTGTTGCTGTGTTGCTGTGTTGCTGTGTTGTTGTGTTGCTGTGTTGCTGTGTTGCTGTGTTGCTGTGTTGTTGTGTTGCTGTGTTGCTGTGTTGTTGTGTTGCTGTGTTGTTGTGTTGCTGTGTTGCTGTGTTGCTGTGTTGCTGTGTTGCTGTGTTGCTGTGTTGCTGTGTTGCTGTGTTGCTGTGTTGCTGTGTTGCTGTGTTGCTGTGTTGCTGTGTTGCTGTGTTGCTGTGTTGCTGTGTTGCTGTGTTGCTGTGTTGCTGTGTTGCTGTGTTGCTGTGTTGCTGTGTTGCTGTGTTGCTGTGTTGCTGTGTTGCTGTGTTGCTGTGTTGCTGTGTTGCTGTGTTGCTGTGTTGCTGTGTTGCTGTGTTGCTGTGTTGCTGTGTTGCTGTGTTGCTGTGTTGCTGTGTTGCTGTGTTGCTGTGTTGCTGTGTTGCTGTGTTGCTGTGTTGCTGTGTTGCTGTGTTGCTGTGTTGCTGTGTTGCTGTGTTGCTGTGTTGCTGTGTTGCTGTGTTGCTGTGTTGCTGTGTTGCTGTGTTGCTGTGTTGCTGTGTTGCTGTGTTGCTGTGTTGCTGTGTTGCTGTGTTGCTGTGTTGCTGTGTTGCTGTGTTGCTGTGTTGCTGTGTTGCTGTGTTGCTGTGTTGCTGTGTTGCTGTGTTGCTGTGTTGCTGTGTTGCTGTGTTGCTGTGTTGCTGTGTTGCTGTGTTGCTGTGTTGCTGTGTTGCTGTGTTGCTGTGTTGCTGTGTTGCTGTGTTGCTGTGTTGCTGTGTTGCTGTGTTGCTGTGTTGCTGTGTTGCTGTGTTGCTGTGTTGCTGTGTTGCTGTGTTGCTGTGTTGCTGTGTTGCTGTGTTGCTGTGTTGCTGTGTTGCTGTGTTGCTGTGTTGCTGTGTTGCTGTGTTGCTGTGTTGCTGTGTTGCTGTGTTGCTGTGTTGCTGTGTTGCTGTGTTGCTGTGTTGCTGTGTTGCTGTGTTGTTGTGTTGTTATCTTGTTGTGTTGCTGTGTTGCTTGTGCCAGAGTTAGCAAGCTGTGCACGTGGTGATGAAATACAGCTGTCCGTCTACCCGTACGAGGGAGCGACGGAGAGTGGAGGCAGCAGCAGTGCGGGCATCAAGGTACAGTTCATGTCCATTACCGCTCGGCTCATAAATAATGGAGAATTACACAGACAGAAGAACGAGCTATTGTTTTTCGTAACTCTGAGCCCTCTACGGACGGTGGATGAACTTTTACATGGTAATGCAGAATGATACTGCTATACACCTCATCAGTCTGGTTTACTGTCGGTCGGGGCTCATTTCTGCGTATGTGCCTCAGCTTATGCGACCTGAAAAAGATTATGTCGAGTTTGGACGTCACTTGAAGAAAATCGTCCAAATACCGACAGAATATTCTTCTCTCTTGTTTGAATATGTTCTTTTTCTGTAGGTACAAGCCAGCCACAATACAATGGCCTGTGAAATCGTCTTCCGCATCGTTCAGAAACAGCTGGCCAAGGAGCGCAGTGGTGTCGGTGGTGGCGTTGGCAGCTCCTCGCGTTCCTCTTCCGCCGCAAGTCGGCTGAACGGCGGTGGCGGCGATGGCTCGTGTTGGCTTTTGCCGTCACGCTATGCACTGGCAGCGGCGGCACACGGCCAAGGACCCAGCGTACAGGAAGTGACAAACGACTTCTGCCTGCTTGCTGCTGCCGCCGTCAATGACGATGACGGCAGCTTGCCTCCCGAACTCCTGCCCGACAGCTACTGCCCGCTTTCCGTGGAGGCTACAACGGCAGCGTCCGGTACGCCTGCTGCTGGCCATCGCAGTAGAAGACTTTATATCCGTGAGCGCACGCCATTAGAGAAGTCTATCCGCCAGCAGAAATCCACGTCAGTGTAACCTGGGAAAATACACGGAAATTCCGAAGTGTGTGCGTGCGTGTGCATCGGTCGTGAAACTAGCTGACTTTAGTCCCTCATGAAACGCTTTCCCACTTTGGAATATGAGTGGACGAATACTGGGGCTACATTTCTCCCATCGTATTCATGGTAACCACAACGAGGCTGTGCAATGTGCTGGCGCATTTTAGACGGTCTACACGTTTAGAAACTTGAATTGAAAATCCGACCATTGTAAAACGAAAACTAGGATATTGCCTACGATTTCCCACAACAAAACCATGTTCAATTTGATATCTTTTTTCACCACCAGAGCTCTGAGCACCTTCTTGGCCGCTCAGCTGCCCCGGATTGTGCAGTGTAGCTGCATCTGATCCTAGAAAGAGAAGACCACTGGTCTATTTCTGATAGTAATCTTCTGGCTCTGCTTTCGTCAGAGGGTGACAATTATTTCTCACTTTGTTATCTGCCTTTTGGAGTACCCTGATCTTATGAGAGTCCGTGTGCGGGTTTTTGCATTTAACATACCGGGCTGCTATTTGAATCATTTTTACTATTTTTCTATGCGCTGTGAGTTGCAGCAATGAAAACAGCTCGTCCTGATCTGTATACTTCATGGATCACCGCTCTGTTGCGGATTGCGCCCTCTTGCTTGCATAGCTACAAGTGCTGTTTCGGTGTCGAGAATTGTCTGCTTCTTTCCATGCAGCACTTTCTGCTCCTCGCGTGTGGTAATCCAAGCCACCAAGAGTACATAACTGTTGCTGTTTTGTTTTGTTTTGTTTTGTTCGCGGCTTTAGTTTACTTCAGCATAGCGCATAGGCACAGGCAATGACTATGTATCTGCCTTCTCACTGGGCGTATTGCCACAGTTCTCGCATAATGATGAAGATACTGTAATGTGAGATACTGAAGATACAAGTATTGAGTTACCATGGTTACACAAGAGAGAGTTTGGAAGCTTTGTTACACTCTGAGTTTCATGTATTACTACGATCACCAGGCAACTGATGGATCCAAAACGGGCAGCCAGAACATGTTAACATAAGGGGGAGCAAGGTGGGAAATTCTGAGGGTGTCATAGGCGACGCGTATCATAGCGCAAGACTTGCCAAGAGTCAGGTGCAGGCGTGAAGTTAGTTGCCAAGTCTTCAGACTTCGGCAAGTTGGGGCTGTGCAGCAGTAGTTCCGGCGTGAATGATAGTTGTCATTCCATCTCACTGACTAGGTCGGAGCTGTGTGGTCATCTGGTATCAATACGAGCAAACTGAGTCCATCACAAAGTCATACAATGCCAGTGTCAGGGTTGCCCAAGATCTGCAAGTACTAGTAAACTATTACTAGTTACACTCGGGAAGAGTTGTGCACAGTTGTTTGCGACATGCGACAGTGCTCAAGACACCAACACATGTACGTAGTCATTGGCTCAGGCTGTGTAGCTCTGTGCCAACACAGATCGACTGTGGTGTAACGGGGCCAATTGGCCAATGCCAACGCCCATGTTGGGGCCAGGGAGATGAGAAGGGGAATCCGATGTGTCAGTCACTGGCTCAGTGGCTGACACGGACACTTTCTGCGGTAGAGGTGTCACATTCTGTGCTAGTGTGCGGTAGATCTACAACATGTAACATTGTCATGTACAATCATGTACATAAATAGAAGTTCGTTCCACTGACTTTGTACGCAGAACATTAACAACGCAGACCCCGCCTATGCTTACATCCCCTGCCTTAAATTGTCGTCTGAAATCATGGAATGCGATGCACAAGTAGTAGTACTGTATGCCTCCGTTGAAATGTTTTCAGTTCTTCTCACTCATGACTTTAGTTCTGCGAGAACACATAAACGTCCCGCTCAGTACTATTACAGTACCGGTACCGTGGATGCAGCCAACCCTGGCAGCGAGGTTCGCCCCCTTGTCGGGCATTGGTTGTGAGAGTTACTAATAGTAATACTACTTATACCACCTCACCCTCGCCGTTAGGAGCTGCATCTGCCACCCTGGCATGGTGGTGGCCTGGCACGAGCGAAACTCCCAACTTGACCCAAGACTGCAAGACTAAAAGCTAGTTGTGGATGTAACGTTCTTAGTAGTTAGCTTACTCTCTTTTTTACCCGTACCGGCATGCCACAGTACATGGTCTACATGGTACGTGTGACAACACTCAATCCTAGTCAGCGCAACATGATCCGATCTCACCTCCCCCGCGTATGTTCTATTGTACAATGACAATGATTGTGCAAACAACAATACAGCCATGTACGTCGGGAGGCAAGAATCTGGCACGAAGCAGATCAGACGATAACCCGCGCTGCACGTGATCTCAACACGAACATCGTCACATCCGCATGCCATTCTTGCTGTCAGAAATCGTCCCCTCCTAGATCCTATGCATACCAATAGTAGTGCAGTATTTCTGAGCTCTACGTGATGACCATCTGCACCGCATTGTGGCAGTAGCCTAGGCTAGAGGAAGATGGGACCTCGACCTCTACACAAAGACGTATAAGTAAAACAGTAACGTACAGTCAGTCGTCCACTCGGCCAAAAGCATACGTCGACGAAGCCTTGCCTGGACGTGCTTCGACAAGCAGCCGTCGTGCCTGATATCACCATTATTATTATCATCATGGTGTAGATCCACGCTACTTCAGGATCGATCCTGGTATGGCACTGCTCACACTCAACGCACGGTGAGTTAGCTGTTGGCAAGTGACACTTCACGGTGCTTGACAGGTGAATGGACAGAATGGGAAGGGGACTTACTTTTAGGCCACAGAGTACCTGCTAGTGCTACTGCACGTCTGTGTACACGTACACGTCATGTAACAGTATACTGACACTATGATACCTATAATAATTATGTAATAATAATACTAGTAGTACCTGAGCTGAGGAATAGCCTGCTTGACTACTCCAGCTCTCGCGCTGTGTCATGCGGTGGAGACGTTTCAGCATCTTCTTCTACAATCACAGCTCGACGCCCGGGCCGTAGATTCTATGTGCGCTTCGGTCGTTCGTCACTCCATACCTCGACTCTGCATCTGCGCTGCCGCGTTTGACATGCCACCTGTCTCGCAATCAATGGGACTTCGGATAAATACACATGCGTCCCTGAATCTAGCCTAGGACACTCGATTCTCGCAGAGGCTGCTGCACCGTCGATTTTTGCTTTCCTCAAAGTCTACGTCGTATTGTTTTCTTCTGACGACGCTTTGCTTCACGCTTATACGCGCGGCGATTCTTGATCTTTGGAACCTAATGCGAAGGTTGGCCGAACGACGGACAGGAGTTCTCAGAGCCATCGGATCCTGTACACTCCGCTATCCGATTTGGAGGACATTGTGCATCAGGATTGTGTTTGTGATATCGCTATCGCTATCGCGATATCGGTGCATGTGCACATGTACTAGTACTTGAAACGCCGCAGATGCGCCGGCTGATAATTATTTTCTCTATTGATAGTACACTGTGGTGTAGACTCTGCGTGTTCAACCATCGGCTGCTTTCGAGAAGACCACGTCCAACTACCGCCCCTCTTCCGTCCAGTGCAACTGCAGGTGTGCGACGCGGCCTGCGAAATGAGTCGCTCCGCGATTCGCAAACGGTTTTCGGACCGCTCGAAACAGCAGGGTCCCCGCCGCGAGAAGAAGCAGCAACTGTCCGGCCTGCGATCCGTCATTACCGAGGCTTTCTGGTGCGGTGAAGTGTCGTTGAGCGCTGAGGAACTGGGCCGCGGCTCCTACGCAGCGGTCTACCAAGCGCAGCACAATGGTGTGGATGTGGCCGGCAAAGTCCTGTCCGAGTCCGTGTTGCCCACGGCGGATGACGAGCGGCGCGCCTTCCTGCAGCGCTTCAACGAGTGCATAGCCCTGTGGGGTCGCCTGCGCCATCCCAGGCTGCTGCACTTCGTCGGTATCGGCTTCCACGCCACGCCAGAGCAGCAGCTCTACCGACTCTGTCTGGTGCACGAGCTGATGGGCACGACGCTAGAGATGCGCATTGGCTGCGACCCTGGCGACTCGCCCACCCAGCGCATGGCCTACCTGGCCGATGTTGCGGAGGGTATACGGTATCTGCATGCCCGCGGCGCTGTTCATGGTGATTTGAAGCCACGCAACGTGCTGTTGGCGGCAGGACGTGCCAAGATCGCCGATTCCGGTCTTGCACACTTTCTAGTTGCTGAACAGCAACGGGAGCCGGGCAGGGAGTCGGTCGAATTTCCCAGACTGAACGTGTTCGACTCGTCACTCCCCTACCTAGCCCCTGAATTCTTCAGCAGCGCAGATCCTGTTGGCCGGTGTGATGCGGCGTTCGACATCTTCTCGTGCGGCGTGATGATTCTCGCAGTACTCACCAACAAACAGCCATCGCCCACAGAGCAGCGGGGCCGGGTGAATTCGTCGGAAGGCGGTGCAGAGCGACCGGTGCCGGAAGTGCAGCGTCGAAAAGCCGATCTGGACCTCCTGGGTGATGACCAAGCATTGCGAAGCCTAGTGCTGTCCTGCCTGGATGACAGCGCAAGCTGCAGACCATCAGCTGAAGTGCTGCATCAGCATATCCTGGATGCCATGCACTCTAGTAAAGTAGCAAGCACGGTAAAGATACTTTGTTTGTTTGTTTGCTGTAAAAGTAGAAGGTGGTGTTTTATTTTCGGTAAGTTCGGTGCCGAAATTTTTACCGAAAATAAAGCGCACCGAAAATTTCGGCAAGGTACTACAGTAGTACACTTACCTGGAAAGCGGGTTTACCGAAAATTTCCCTCAGAGCCACCGAATCGCCGATTTTGGAGAATACCGAAAATATTACACCACTGGAAATTTCTGCTTTTTACAGTAGCTTTTTTTTCTTCACCATACGCCCAGGCAAAGTCTGCCTTCTCACTGGGGCATATTGCCACAGTTCTTGCAAAATGATGAAGATACTGATATGAGAAGACCAGGCAGGCACAGTGGGTTGGTCAAAGACCATGATTGAGATACGAGAGGTATCTTTTTTTAATTTTTTTTTTTATCTGGTTGAAGTCCTGCCTGGGAGCGGTTTTTCCAGTCGTGCTGCTACCCACCCTCAACTGGGAACTTGTGGCCAGGCACAAGGGGTACATGGATGCGGCTAATGGGGTTTCTCGGCACTTGTGCATGCCAGTGGTTGTGAGACTTATCCACTCACCCCCACCGTAAGGTGCTGCATCTGCCGCTAGGGTTTACCGGGTGTCAGCGGCCGTCGTGAGTTCCCTTTGGAAACGGACACGATAATTTACTGATATGAGAAAAGGGAAGAGGAAGATTGATTGATGAACAAGGCACGAAAAGAAGACGGAAACAAATCAAAACTTTGCCTTTCGGATTACCCCTACCCCATTAGGATTACCCACCCAGGTTCTGTGTGTATGTCTGTCTCTCTCTCCGTCGATCTGTTTGTCTATCTGCCTGTCAGCCTGTCTGTGGGCATACATTTCAGGGGGTGTAGGCCCTAGTCTTTCCGTTTTGAGTCTCTCTCCCCTCTCGCGGTGAGACCCACGTAACCAGTTTTGGCAGTGAGCAAATAGAGTAAAACCTGTGACTAACGACCACCCCTTGGGGTCAGAGAAAGCGGTCTTTAGTGGCAGGTGGTCCTTAGTTAGAGGTTTGCACCGCACAACCATAATATATGAATGTGAGACCGTCCGTGCCTGGCGAAGTGGTCTGTAGTACCAGGCTGGTCGCTAGTCACGGTGGTCTTTAGTTGTGGGTTTTACTGTACAAGCAAGTAAAATGGTGCGCGCGTGTGTGTGCGTGTGCCTGTGTATATGTGTATGTGTGCGTGTGTGTGTGTATATGTGTGTTACTGTGCATGTTGTGTAGGTTCAGTCGCACCTGCAGGACGTGTGCAGCACGATCATCTCGCGTCTGGACACGGCCATGCAGAGCATGAATGAACAGCTGACCATGCACTTGGCCTTCACCGACCAGCGCCTGTACAGCATCGAGGAGCGCATGCGAGGACTGGAGATGAACGTGGACGCCATCGCACAGCATCTCAAGCTCAACACCATCACCAGCGGTTCGTACAGCCGCGCCAGCAGCACGACCAGCCTGCAGGCGGCCAGCCTACGCAGCAGAAGCAGCAGCTTCGGCACGGCTCCGGCCGCTGGAGATCACGCACAGGGCTACGACCGGATGCAGCTGCCGTCCGCCGCACAGTTCCGTCCGAGCAGCAGCCCCAAGCGACACCACCACGGTGTTCCCGCCGAGCATCTACATCGCCAACTGACTTACTCTCAGGCACAACAACGCCTAGTACCGCCACTACAATCATCAACCGCGAATGTCGGTGGCGGTGGGGGAGAATCACGGAACATGTCCCGCTCCAGTTCGTCATCGTCTCTGGGTGCCCGCACGGTGGGACAGCATTCGCAACCGCAGGCCATTGTGCCGCCGTATGTACGCCGTGACTCCAAGCCCGGCACTCGTGAAGTCAAGAGTGTAGAGGTGAGTACTTTAGTATGGCTGCTCTATTTCCAGGATACGGGCAGTACAGCCAGGGTATCGCTGTCAGGGTATCGCAGTCAGGGTATCGCTGTCAGGGTGATGCAGTCAGGGTATAGTATCGCAGTCAGGGTATCGCAGCCAGGGTAGTGCAGCCAGGGTATCGCTGTCAGGGTATCGCAGTCAGGGTATTGCAGCCAGGGTAGTGCAGCCAGGGTAGTGCAGTCAGGGTATCACAGCCAGGGTAGTGCAGCCTCAACCTGGGTTGATCGGGGGTCCAAAGACAACAACAAAAACTTACTTTGAAGTACTGCTTTTTAAAACAATTCTAAATTTTAAATAATCGACAAGGAGGCAATTTTTCTAAATGTAATAATGGTGTTCTTCGGCAATTTTCAATGCTTCGTGCGGCCTCACAACGTCCTAAAGGTTGTCAACAAATTGTTTTATAATAATGATTACCTGCTTCACGGGGAAATAGCTAAACTTGATTAGAGAAGGCTCAGAAAACGCGTCAATCTCAATACAAAATGTTGCTGACGAGGCTTTATTGTTGTTTCTGTACGTGCGTACCCGTGTGTCCTTTCAAATCAATTACTCTCCTTGTTTCTTTTCCTTTCTCGCTGTTGTCTCCCGCTTTTAAGTTCTGGGAGCGACGTGGCCATTTTGTGGCAGTTGTACATAGTAGTAGTAGTAGTAGTAGTGTATGTGTGTGTGTGTATGTGTGTGCGTGCACGCGCATGTGTGTGTGTGTGTGTGTGTGTGTGTGTGTGTGTGTGTGTGTGTGTGTGTGTGGATGTGCACGAACGTGTGTGCATTCACGTGCCTACGCGTGTACTGCAATCCAGTCGTTTGCCTCCGTGATCAGTGCAACGTATCAGCCACACTTTGGTGCCTCGGTCAGAGACGCAGGAATGTGGCGGGACATCGGCAAAAAACCGGGAGAGGTAAGCAAGGTGATACCTTGATATTGACATACACACAAGAAGGTTGCCTCTGCGGCTCTGGCACATCTTTACTCTCTGCTCCATCCAGTATACAAACTGTGCTTTCGAACACAACTTACTTCAATACAGTAAAACCTGGTTTAAGCGACCACCCCACGGTACCACGGTGCAAGCAAAAGCGGTCGTTAAAGCCAGGTGGTCTTTAGAACCAGGTCCCACGGTGTCTGTGTAGAACTGTCCGTGCATGGAAAAACGGCTGTTAAGTGCAGGTGGTCGCTAAACCCAGGTTTTACTGTACAACAATCTCTTCTCTTCTCCTCCATGCGCTCTCGGCGGACAAGTTGCTACCCTCGGTAGCCATTACACACGCCGAAAATTCCAAACAACGAAGGGGTTATTATGGGTACTTGTAAAACTGACTTTATATTTTTAATCACGGAACATTAAGGGAGTGATCAAAGAGTCTGTTACAAACCACCAGTTCTCAAGTGGGAAAGGCCGCCGTCGCGCTTATGGCATTGTATTCGTTGCAATGTTGTATCTCGACTCCGCCGTACCGCTGATGTTTGCTGCACTGTGTGCGGTTTTTACTGTATACGCTGTTATGTCCTGTTTTATATGCGTATGTTTTGCATGTACGCTGCTTTGCATGCTATAAATAGCTGGTGTTATTAGTGTTAGTTATTATATTCGATCAAGTGAAATATACTGTTGAAGAGCAAATAGTTGTCCTCGTGCCGTGTGGTCGTTCGATCCTGACATTTAAGAGAATCTCAGAGGGTTCACAACAGAGTCTAAAAAGAACTGATAAGCTCTTTTAGCCTTGATGCAAACTATGGCTTTACGGCATTTATGACGGAAGACTGTCCGAATATCATTGTTGCGCCATGGGTTTCTAAACTTTCTATTGAAATCACAGCAAACGCCGTGGCTGCGGACTTGCAGGTTTCTTGATGGACAGCGCTGTATGGAAAAAGATGTCAGCATGTCACATCTTTTTGTCTGTCTTTTGTTGAGCTCAAAATCTCATTTCCCTCAAATTTGGCGCTCATTGCGTTTTGCATCTATACTCATCATGCACTTTGCTTTTAATGTGCTGCTTTGTGCATATAAACCCTTCGGGAACGGACACGTTAATTTTCTTTTTCTTTTCTTTTTTGTGCGTATGTGAATCCTCTCTCCTTGTCCAGGCCTTTTCCCACTCGGCAGCAGCGTCACCGCGCAGCCCGATGGCCTTGCGCAAGCCCAGCGGCGGCCACAGCCACGAGGATGTGCCCGGCTACGCCGTGGAGACGCTTCACGAACTGCCACACGACGAGTCGCGCCAGTCTCCGCCACCGCCGCCCCTCCAGCCGCTACAACAGCAACCGCCCGCGCCCCGAGAAGTTGCCCCTCCGCTCGCGACCAACATTGTGGTTGCCAACGCAACGGCGGACGGTGCCACGCCTGTCGCCAGCCCCACGCCACCAGCGTCAATGTCGGCCGCGGCAAGCCCGGAAATCCCAAAGCCGCCGCATCAACTGGCGGATGAGTCGCAGGACGAGCCCGAGTCCTCGCCTGCTGGGCAGACGACAGAGTCACCCAGCACCAGAACGCCTTCACCCAGAGACCACCGGAGTGATCCATCTCAAGCAACCGTGAGTTCAATTCAGTCGTCTAAATGTCCGTAGTAGGGAATTCAAATATTTTGTGCGGAATTTTTAAATTTTCATTCCGATACTAAAATGATTATACACTGAGCTCTGTGCAGGGCGTCAACTTTGCATACCTCTTGGTACTTTCAAAGTGTTGTTTTGGCACCCTTGGTTGACTGCTATGTTATGCTTGGATCAGTCAGCGTTGAAGCAGCAAATACACACATTTGTGTCAAGCGACTATATGTACACAGTACAAGCTCAGTGGTTAGAGCATCGCTGGCCTCAAGCGAGGGTCCCTGGTTCGAGTCCTGGTGCTGACAGTCAATTGTTTTCTTCAGACTTTTCCCGTTTGCGTCTTTCCCTCAAACCAGTGAATGCATGTCGAGTCCACTTTTTAAGGTTAAGAGCCAGCTTCAATGTTCAGTAAAGCCCGGAGTCGTTGGTAGTTGTAGAAAAATTATTAAAAAACCCGTCGTCGTGGAAACCGGGGGTGGTGGCCCAGAGTCCTGAGGGAATTGTCGGCTACTGAACAACAGATGGAGCATAGGTTGTAGGGGTGTAGCCTAGGCCAATCTTATCATCATTCTTGTACAACTGACTGTGTTTGCTCAGTTGATACACTGCATACATTTATCGGTATGGTCTTTCACCGAGCACAGCGTTCTGTACATACTATGCTGTGCTTGGTGAAATTGTAGTCTGTTTGGCCTGCGGTGCCCGGTAGTATTGTTTTTTTTTCTGATATAAATTAATGTTTGAACAACCGGCGAGGAGACGACAGCTTTAAAACTGCAATCAATAAGATGAGCTGAATCGACATGTGTATACCGTGTCCATTCGTGCAGTGTCAAACGATGGAAACAATGTCCAGCAAAACGATGGAGGAAGGAAGAAATAGTATACCGACCCTCCGCCTTCGGGGACAGCGGCGATCACCCAGCACCAGAAAGAATTCACGCAGAGACCGGAGTGATCAATCGCAAGCAATCGCCGTGAGTTCATTTCAGCCTTGTTTTAAAAGCTTTGTGCTCTGCAGTAGGAAATTCAAATATTTGTGCGAAACTTACATTCCGAGGCTAAAGTGATTACAAACTGAGCTCTGTGCAGAGCATCAGTTTGGCATACCACGCGTACTTAGAACTTTCTTGTTCTGGCAAAGCAGATGTACAGTCAACTTCGTTAATAAGTTAATAAGGGGTCGTCCACAATTATCGAACTTTTTTCACGAAACGAAATAATTTCGTTATGGGGTGGGAGGGGGTTGACCAATTTCGTTTCAGAAAAGTTCGATACATGTACATGGCCATAGGAGCAGTTACACACTTGCGGGTTTTGTTGTACATGTATATGCATGTATATGTCAACAATTTTTACGTTCTGAGGGGGAGGGAGGGAGGGGTTGGGTCTAAACTAAAATAATTCGTTTGGTGAAAAAAGTTCGATATTTGCGGACGGCCCCTAACGACTGCGGATATAACGACAATTCGCGAATAACGACAGAATTTCCATGCCCAGAGCAAAGTCCCATCTAACTGTAATACATAATAAAGAGACTTCGGGGTATAGCGACACTTCGCGAATAAGGACATTTTTCTGATGCCCCGCCGAGTGTCGTTATACGCAAAGTAGACTGTACACGCATCCTTGGTCGACTGCTATGCCGGCTTGGATCAGCCAGAGTTGAAGCAGCAAATATAAAAGAAATGCTTGTCAAGCGAATAGCCCACTTTAAGCGCCAGCTTCAATGCTCAGCATTAGGGCCGTCCGCAATAATCGAAAAATTAAAAAATCCGTCCTCGTGGAAACCGGGGGTGGGTGGGAATTGTCAGTTACTAAACGGCGGATGGAGCATAGGTTGTAGGCTTGTAGCCCAGGCCAGTCTTATCATCATTCTTGTACAAGTGACTTAATGGTATGCTGCTTCACCAAGCACAGCATTCTATACGTATACTTTGCTGTGCTTGGTGAAATTGTAGTCTGTTTGTTCTTCGGTGCCCGACAGTACTGTACTTTCTGTGACATAAAATGTATTTTAGTATTTTTTCCTCACCCCCTCCCCTTCTCTCTTTTATATTTTGCTAGGAGGCGATTGCTTCTCAAGGAAATGATGCAGAGGTTCTTGATGCTGTTCAAGGTCCGCTTATGCTGCCAGTTGCTTTGCCGGCCGATGACACTCGTGTAAGGCGGGTTGCAAATGAAGACGGCACCAGTGACAGCAGTGTCATGCTGAAGAGATGCCGGCGTCTCTTTGGCAACGAACTCAGACAAGTACCTGAGGTATGTATCTGCAATGACCGTTATTGTACTGTGTGTGTGTGTGTGCGCGCGTGTGTGTTTGTACGCGTTTGTGCGTGTGTATGGGTGTGTGTGTGTGTGTGTTCTTGTGCGTGCGTGCATGTGTGTGCGTGTCAGGGGCATTCATTTCCTTGTGTGTGACGGTTCACGGCTTATGTTCTCTCTCCGTGCCTGTTCACGTGTGTGTGTGTGCGTGCGTGCGTGCGTTTGTGCGTGCGTGTGTGTGCACAGTGGCGACGGGAGTGCGGGCTGCCGGAGAACACGCAGTACTACTGCGAGATGCCGTGTGTGCACGAGGGTCGGTTCTACGCCGGCTTCAGCAAGCGTAGCGCCGGCAATCAGCATCACGCTCAGCTCTACTACTACAAACTGGACGCTGGTGGCCGCAACACACACACCAGTGGTATGGCTTTCAGCAACGACGACAACGGGAGAGAGACGTCCGAATGGACACACGTGCCGCTGCCCAAAGGCTACTGGTTTCGCCAGTGCTACTTCTTCGTGCACCGCGCTCGTCTGCACGCAGCGCTGATCGAGATGAGCCCGATGAGTGTCTATCAGATATTCCGGCACGACGCAACCCCGCATGGACGCACGTGGACATACGTGACGCAGCTGCCGGACAAGCGCTACCTGTTCGGCCTGGCCGTGGTGGGCGACAAGGTGGTCGTGATCGGCGGGCGCGGCGGACGCAACATCGTCGACCCGTTGCTCAAGACTGTGTATTCTACGACGCTCTCCGTAGCAGCAGGCAACACCAGCGCTGCCGGAGGCGGTGGTGATAATGACACCACTGGCGGTGTCACCTGGACCAGTCTTGACGACCTGCCGCAGCCGTGCGCCTCGCCGCGCCCCGCCGTCTCCCCCGACAACCTGCTCCACGTCCTCGGCCACTTTGGCGTTGGCAGCGGCGCCAATGGCCTCAAGGTCACCGACATGCTCACCCTGGACATGAAGGCAAGGGCGGCCGACCGACGCTGGAGAGGCGACGCGGTGCACAGGCTGCCGCTGAGCCGCGCCGCAGGCGTGTTTCTCGGCAGCGCGTTCGTCGTGGCCGGCGGTCTCAGCGAGCAGGGCACGACGACGGGCGTGTACCTGTACAATGCCAGCACCGCTGCCACTACCGCCACCAGCGATTGGGTGCAGCTGCCGTCGCTGGTGACTGCTCGCTATATGGCACACTGTGTGGTGCACCGCCAGAGGCTGTACTGCTTTGCGGGACACGACGGCGCAGCGATCAACGACATCGAGGTGCTTGCTGCGCCGCTAGCGCAGGAAGCAGCAGAAGAGCCGGTCCTGGTTTGACATTGATGGTGACGCGCCAGGGTTGCCCTGGCGGCATACATTGCCATTCGATTCTCCCGCGACAGCCATTGCAGGGTTCTGTAGCGTCCCCACCTGAAGAGCGTGGAGCCCCAAGGACGTCCAGCCTGACATGCTAGGTTGGCGGTGTTGGCGTGTGATCAAGGACGGATTTTTCTCAGAACGCAACCAGATTGCTGAAAACGAATAAGAACGCGCGAGGCTAATCCCACGGAAACGACGTTCTTGGATGCGTGACTCTACTGCACTGTGGACAGTACAGATAGTGGTCACACTGATATGACCGGAGGATGCACCCAGTGTGCTGACAGTGCTCAACACCGCGGCGGAGGCAGAGCGTAATACACAGAACGACAAGGGCAATCAAGGCTTGTTTGTCGCTACTCTCAGTTTCATTAAAGGTTGGTTGTTCCAACGAGGAACACACCCTTCTTGCTGCTAATACCGCCGAAGTCGCAACTTGTAAGGTCTGAGTTACATGCTTACGCAATCATCAGGCCCCAGTAGTCGCACTGGTATGAGATAGCCACAACACGATAGCATGCCTGCACATGGCTTGGTGAGCCGGTCTGGAACACTTCTAAACAATGGATGCCGTGCTCAACGATGCAGCAGTACCCCGGGATTCTGTAACCGGGGACACGCACAAACCCAGCTTTTCTTACAAGTCCAGAAGTTCAGTATCGCGGCCATGCGTGCATTGTAATTGCCAATACAGAACATGACTGCTGTGTTGTACATGTACGATGATTCTGCATTAAAAGGCGTTTCTTTCCACTTGATCATTGAGCCGTGGGTGCTGGTCACCTCCACGTTGATGAATAAGAATTTATTTTATTTTTCAAGATACTGTTAACCGCCCAATATTCGCGTCACTAAATTTTCGCGATTTCGTAGAACCAGCGCGTTTGCGATAGCAAAAGTTCGCGAAGCACTGGGGCCACCACTTACATACACGCACTGTTGAAGTTAGATTTCACGCTGGTTAATATTCGCGTTACGCTCTTCTCGCGAAAATAGCGAACATTAATCCGTCGCGCATATTAGGTAATTTACAGTAGACTAGAATGGCAAGTGTGTAGATACCGTATAGCTGTGTTCACATGCAGGGCAGCCATGTTGGTTCCTGCACCAGTCAATCCTGGCCTCCAGACGTCTAGACCAGGGAGTCGTGAAAACCCTTTCAACCATGATTCAACATTCAACTGAAAATCAGAAATCGTACTTTTGGGCACTATTTTTCAATGTGTGTGTGTGTGTGGGTGGGGGGGGGGGGGGGGGGCTATTCGGGAGAGGGCTTCATTTTCTCACTGGCTATTAGAGGTTGGGGCACTATTCAAGAGAGGGCTCGAATCGCGCAAGTACGGTACTAGTATCACCCATATTGAGCAAGATTTCTCCGAAGGCAAGAGTACCCGCAGCCAGGGAGTAAGTATGCCAGCTTCAGTTCAGATTGTGGCCATGCTCAAGTACTTGTGACAACACCAATGATACAAGAAAGTTTGAGTTTGGAGGTAGGGTAGAGTCTTTGCAAACGTAACAAAAGAAAACTATCAAGTTGTTGATCGCAACATATGCATGCCTACACACCCACACGCACGCACGCATGCACAGACACACAAACACACACACACAGTGCATGAGACTGCGAGGAGAGTGTAGTGAATTCCTATGCACACACACCCAGACAGTGCTGTACTTTAGTGACAGTGCACTTGACAATGAGAGCTGGCACTGCAGCTAATCTTGCAACTGGCGCCGAGGAAAGCGGAGAGCATCCGTGCGTAGAAAATATGCGCCTGTGCCCAGTAAAACAGTGTGTAGCAAAATAGAACTTCAGAATGAGCTGCTGCGCCGGTCTAAGCAAGCAATGGTGAGTGTATTAGCCACATACAGCATACACTCAAGCACACATGGCCCTCGCTGCAATAGTTTCTCGGATACAAGCGCAGCGGAGCATAAGCAGAAAAGTCATGGGGCAATGGCGACGGGCAGTGAACCGGAGGCACAGCATGTGCAGGAACAGCACGTGCACACACAAACACACACACACACACACACAGTGTACGTTCTAGTCGAGGTCGGGCTGAGTTTGCCGAACACAAGACATCGCCTTCGAACAAGCGCCGATCTCCGCCAAATTATCACGAAGGCGAGTCTCACTCAAGCAAGGCCACTGAACACGCAGTATAGTCGGATAGCACCAGGGAGTAGTAGAATACCAGTGTTTTACTACTCCCTGGATAGTACCTCAAGCAGCACCCAGGTGTTGACTCAGCCCGGGTATGAGTACACAACAGTGGGCGTATCATGCTGAGCATGCTCAGTGCAGGTATGATGACAGCAAGCAGTTCACGTCGGATGCCACCTCGAGACCATGTCAATGCAGCCAACACTTTGTACGCTCACAAAACCAACAGACAAACAAGCCATACACACAGCACGAACAACAACCCGGAATGCAGAACGAACAGCAGCCGGGAATGCAGAACGAACAGCAGCCGGGAATGCAAAACGAACTGCAGCCTGACAGAAGACAGTGGCGCACAGAGAGCCGCACAACAGCCTCTTGACACAGCGCTTGCCTAGCGTAGCCTGCCCACACAAACCCAGCTGGTGTTACTGATGATGCTGCTGCTGCTACGGACACGGACACCCATCAACGCGCCTCGAGGAGTTGACGGATAGGTAGCACAGGTGGTGTGCTTCGTTCTCCAGGGCAATAGAACTCGGCGAGTGCTCAGCACGGTTAACTGCGACGGGCACAAGGTACCTAGTAAACGCCACAAGAACAGCAGCTACACGTAGTCGGGTCGCACCGAACACGATGGAGACTGGATAACACACATATCGACAACAAGGCACCCACCACCACAACCACCATCAGCATCACCTCCGCCACAATTGTCTACGCAAGAACAGTACAGAGAGGCGGACGCGCAGCAAGACAGACCGGCGTGGAACAATTCGTCGCGGCCACCCCGCTTCAAGCACTCCGCATTGATAGCGAGGAGAACCCCTCGTCAATGCCATCATGCAGATCGGTGTTCTTCCACCTTCCAGGAGTGGCTTCCTTGCTCATGGTGACAATCTCACACCCGGGTACCATCACCATACCCGTGTTGATGGCAGCACTGGACGGTGGCGACGGCGATGCGGGTGTGCCGTCTGCGCACGACACCAACAACACACACATATAGTCAACCTCGCTAATAACGACTGTGGATATACGGTCAGACCTCGCATAACCACACACATCCGTTTTCCACAAAAAAATATCTGGATAGGCGAGGGAACCGGATAATCGAACACACATACTGTATGTGTGCATGGCATATGCTGTAAATCGGTAACCCACGATTTTCTTCCGGATGGCGTGGGATCCGGATAAACAAGGACCGGATAAGCGAGGTCTGACTGTAACGACAATTCGCGAATAACGACAGAATTTCCATAGTACCCCAGAGCAAAGTCCCATCTACCTGTATACACATAATGAGACTTTGGGTATAAGGACACTTCGCGAATAAGGACACTTTTCTGATTTTCTGATGCACCGCCGAGTGTCGTTATACGCTAAGTTGACTGTAGCCGTACACAAGTACATACAAACATACATGCACACACACACACACACACACACAAGTGCACACACACACACACACATGGGCATGCTCTTGAGTACATCGCAACTCGCTACATCTCTTACCTGGCATGGGAAGGATCTGTTCGCAGTCTGACAAGATGATGTTGCAGTCGCGATCCGTACACAGCAACCTTCCGGTCAGCACACGGCCATCTTTGATCACGATTCTCAACGGTTTCTGCAAGAACTTCGCTAGGAACGGACTCTTTTCTGCGGCACTTGGCCTGCACATACACACGCACGCACACACACACACACACACGCATACACACACACGTGCACGCACACACACACCACCACCACCACCATATTTCCTGATATGAGCACCACATCGGAAACAAAAAATGTTCCGTCTAGACAAGCCGGGTTGGGGTTAGGTGGTTGTCGAAATGTTCAACCCCGTCCCGAAGTAACTCCTGTGGTGATATAACATCAGCAATAGGCGCAGCGGAATCCAAACTTCTTTACGCCAGTAATTGAATACACACACACAAACACAAACAGGCGAACACAACCTCCCGAGGAAAACAACAAGTAACTGCCTCCCTGGTATCACAGGCATGGTGGTGGCCTGGCACGAGCGAAACTTCCTAAGCTGGTTGTGTTTCTCAACGCAATTGTATAGCCGGTGGTAACGCGGACGTGCAAACTTTACTTTTTTATAAACTGGCGGATACCTAAAACAGGTGTATTGTGCACGGCGGAGCAGAAATTTCCCGGCGCATAATGTCCATGCCTGCAGCTGACACTGCTCACCGTACTGACACTGTACTGCTCAATGAAATCCAGCCGTGTCACTCAAGTACATGCCGGGCGCTCCGCAGCCCCAGACCTGCGACATGCTGCAAGGCGCACGCTTGAGCGACGCGACTGGATTTCATCGAGCAGCACTGTACACGCTGACGGGCTTCTTCGGATAGGTCGCAATACGTACGCATACGCATTGTTCTATTGCGCTGATATTTTATTCATAGCATTTGATGCAGACGTTAGGACACTTGCAGCTAGGTCAGGCCATCAACCAGGTACTAGGTGGCAATCACATCCGACAGAAACGTCAGCAGGGAATGGATAAGATACAAAATAACGCAGTCGTCTATATCCCCGACCTGATACTAATACTAAAAATGAATGATTTAGTAATAGTGGGCGACTGTCTGTATTATCAAGAGTCCATAAACATGTTTTGTGTTTATGCACTCTTGGTATTATGCTCAAATCATGTCAAAATGAAGAAAACAGACGCAGGATTGATCTCAAATTTGTGGGAAATATAATACCTACTTCCTTGTTGAGCAATCCTCAGCGGCTTCATGTAACGTCGATGCTCTCCCCAGAAGTGTAAGAGGACCGTCCATTTTAGACCAAGGAATAGCTGGCTACAAGCTGGCTTATGCAAACAAGAATTGTGTCGCTTTCAAACTCCGTCAAATGAAGTGCAATCACTCACTTTCTGTGGTGATATCTTGTCTTGTTACTTGAAGTAACTTAGTTGAAGCTTTCGAACTAAACACGAATCGAAGATGAACATTCGAACCGTGATGTCATGATCGGGCACATCATGTCACAAAATCATTTCCCGCCGTAATTTTGTCACTAGAAGCATGAATGCAGTGACTTGATCGACCAAAACACCACAACAATCGCACCGGTTTCATGGTTTGGACCTTTCGGCAAGCATAATGTCGATTTCCCCTGGAAACAGGGTGTGCTTTCTAGTAAGTTTCCACTGGTACCTTGTCGTTTTACAAGTAAAACTCGGATGTTTCCTGTTCAAAACATGCACCAGAAAATGCAAGCAGTTGAAAAATCGAAATGTCAATGATTGTCATAACTCCCACAACAGTTTGACTGATTTTGTATGTGTGGGGAAGAATACTGATTGTACCTGTGGCAGTTTTGCTCATAATATCATGACAAATGACTGGTCTGTCTGGCTTGCTCCGTTCTTGTTTTGACGTTGTGTACCAACTGGAGAGCAGTACGAAGGATCTAATCAACGCCACCGCTCATAACAGGGCCTGATTGGATTTGCTCGGGCCATTTATCACTTTGGTTGAAGCCAAAATAAACTGAGAAATTGTCAGACTTCAGCTACTTGGACTTTGGAGACTAGTCAGGTGAAATTGCAGTTTGTGGATTGGCTGCAGCAATGCAGAGTTGTCCCAGCACCGCGCCGTCTACTGGTAGTAGTAGTAGTTCTAGCACTGTGAAGCTTACGACTCCAAAGTTTAGCAGAGTGAGTCGTGCTGCGACCGCCTCACTCGGATTTCCCAGTGATCACGACAATCGACAGTCGACCGACTCCTCTGTACATGTAGGTAGCAACGAGACCGACTCGCTGGCGGATCGCACGGCGGCGCGGCTACGCTCCGACGTGCATGTATCTGCGTCGCCGGGCCGCCACCTGAAGCTGGCCACGGAGGACCTGCTGTACAGTAAGAACAACGTCTGCGTGCACAGCACGTGCGGTCCGGCCGGGCACGTACCGTCCGGGCCGAGTCCGGGCCGCAGGGGCAGCGTGCCGGCCCCGGGTCCGGGCAGGGTCGAAGCGGTTCACGTCCCGGGCTACCTGTCGCTGCGGTGCCGCGGTGCATCGATCCTGGGCGTGGGCTCGTCGCTGATCCTGCACTGGGTGCCGAATAAGTTCATCACCAACACGTCGTACGGCTACGGAGATGTGGCCGAAACGCTGACGCACACAAACAGCGGCACACACTTGGCCAACGGCTCGCCGATAATCCAGGCGGAGAACAGACAGAAAAGATCGACGAGCAACGCCTCCAACTCAAGTGGCGGCGGTGGCGAAGCGTTGCCTCGAGATGTGAGCACGTTCACTATCGATCTCGGTCTGATGCGTTCGGTTAAGATCTTTTTCAACAATGACGACCGTGCGTCTGGGCAACTTGTTGTCGCCAGTCCCAACAAGCAGTTTCGCGTTCTTCACTTTCATCACGGTGGTCTCCCGGGACTGCAGAAAGCTCTGGAGGACTGGCCGATGTGTTCGCAAGCGGCACGACGGGGTGATGTAAGCCGTGTGTGTCACTGTGTGTGTGTGTGTGTGTGTGTGTGTGTGTGTGTGTGTGTGTGTGTGTGTGTGTGTGTGTGTGTGTGTGAAAAAATGAAAAAGACCAAAAAGTAGGGATTCACTGGCCAGAAACAGCCACTTCATAGCTGTGTGGTGTAGACCAGGCTGAATAGTGGCGGTCAATTCTTCAGCCTTGCAAGCTGTTGAATGGTGCAATCCCAGCACAAGCTGCTATGGCTTCTGCTGTAGCATCGCTATCATTGCCTCCGGCGATGGGTGTGTATGTGTGTGTATGTGTGTGTCGCGGTGTGTGTGTGTGTGTCGCGGTGTGTGTGTGTGTGTGTGTCGCGGTGTGTGTGTCGCGGTGTGTGTGTGTGTGTGTGTGTGTGTGCACCCTAGCTAGAGTACTGTAATTTCACAAATTTTCGGTACTTTCGGTGCGTCTGTTTCATACCTAAAATTTCAATACACCGAACAAACACTAACACACATAACCCAATAGGGAACTGCTTCTCTGTACCGAAAATTTCTGTTCACCTAACCTAGCCTGTTGCCCTCATTCCGAAAATATTGAGCACCGAAAATTTCTGAAATTAGAGTAATTCTTGACTTCTTGTGTAAGCAATGTTAGTGAAGCCTTTATCAGATCCACTCTTATTTAGCTACCCACACTAGTAGTAGCAAGTTCACTGGGGGAAGGGCCGAATGCAGTTGGATCCTGGGACGACTGCCTTGATCCCTTTTGTGCACCCTGTCCTCGCCCACTTACGGAGGTGTGGTGAGCCCATAAGTGGGATCATTTTCAAGTCCACCCATAGTTTGGGGATTTCAGTGGGTGTCGGCCGCTGGGCAGTTCAATAGCCGATGGAGTCATCTTTCCTAAGATTGCCAGATGACATTGAGCAAGTACAAGTATGTGTGTGTGTACGTGTGCGGGCATGTGCATGCGTGTGCGCATGTGCACCCACGGGGCTGGGTGACTTTTTTTGCGTTCCCGTGTCTGGGTTTATGTTGTTGTTGTTGCTGCTGTTGCTGCCGCCGTCATAGTTTTTATATCTTTTTCTGACATGACAGGCATCAGAAGCACCGCGCAGCATCACGTTCAACATCTGCCGCACTCACCTGAGCGAGGAGAATGCTCACCCGGAAGAAGGCATGTACTGTTCACTGACGCCCGACGCCTGGTTTGGATTCATGGATAGTGACGGGCGGCTGGCTAATGAACAGCTTATACGCAAGGTAGAGTTCTTTGTATTTGTGAAATCTCTAATAGTTTTCAGTGCAGTTTCAACTCGTGCATTGCTGCACGTACTCCGGGGTGGACTGTGTCAAGTTTGTATTGTGGTACTGGGACGATTGAAACTTGAAGAATGTGTTTTGGCATTGTTGGTACTATATGGCTGCCTTGAAACTTTTTGTTTTTTCAAATCAGGATCCTGGATGCACCTCTCTCTCTCTCTCTCTCTCTCTCTCTCTCTCTCTCTCTCTCTCTCTCTCTCTCTCTCTCTCTCTCTCTCTCTCTCTCTCTCCCTCTCTCCATGTCTGTGTTGCTGTTCAGATAATCTTTTTCGGAGGTATCACGCCTGAAGCTCGTCCACTGGTTTGGCCCTTCCTGCTGAACTACTACCCGTTCAACTCTACTCACGAGGAGCGCGCAGCGATACGTGAAGACTATCGCACGCTCTACGCAGCAATGAAGAAGAAAAGGTCAGTGTGCAGAGGAGGTCATAGGCGTCGTGTGCTATTCCCTGCCTGCAAGCACGGTCTGTTTGATGCTCCTGCGGAACTGTATGCGCTAGTCTACCCTTCTCGGTTTCATTGGCAGATCTCTCTTTCTATTTTACTCACTCGCTTGCTCTTTCTCACTCTCTCTCTATCTATCTATCTATCTATCTCTGTCTCTCTATCTATCTCTATCTCTCTCTCTCTCTCTCTCTCTCTCTCTCTCTCTCTCTGTCTTAATTCTACCATGGCCTTTGCACAGGGAAGCAATGGACTCGGCTGAGCGGCAGGAGTTCTGGCAGAAAGTGCAGTGTACCGTCGAGAAGGACGTGGTGAGAACGGATCGCTTGCAGCCGTTCTTCGCCGGCGACAACAATCCGCATACCGCTACGCTTCAGTAAGTGTTTGGCCTGATCAAGATTACTGATTAGGCAGGGGGCAATGTTGTCTTCCTTTCTAGCATTTCTTAGGTACAAAGGGGGTGGTGGGGGTCAGCCTTGTAGCCTAGAGCGTTCAGACCACCACCATGCCTGATTGTACCAACCTTTGTGTGTGAAGTAACATGCCCACTTCCATTTCACTCTGCTCTCCAGGGAGATTCTCCTGTGCTACGCGGTCAAGGAGCCGGAGATCGGCTACACGCAGGGCATGTCAGATCTGCTGGCACCGCTGCTCGCGGCCGTGCAGGACGAGGTGGACGCGTTTGGCTGCTTCGTCGGCATGATGCAGTTCAGCGTGCTGATGACCGCTGGACACAGCTCCATGCACAGACAACTGGTGAGTCAGTGTCCTTGCTGTATATAGTAGTGCTATCAACTACTCTTTTAAAAAGTACAAATCAGCTTAAACATGGCAGCCGGTTCTGTTGGCACAGGCAACTGGTGAGGCTTTGCTGGGTCTGCTATCAACTACTCTAAAAGTAAAAGTCAGATGAAACATAGTTCTTTTTTTTACTTTAAAAAGTTTAACAAACAAGGCTGGTCGAGGCAGCTCGATGCACAAGTGTGCAGAGCAGTATACGCATACAACGGAGGCGAAACGCTGTGTAGCTATAACTTCAGGTTTCACGCACTTCAGCGATCATCAGACAGCAGCGGTTTTTTTTTAATCTAAAATTTGTTGTACGCTACATCACTAGTACCCTAAATTCTCGAACTCCCTGTCCTAATGCACTCATTGAATCATGCGCATTGTCCGTTCTTTTGTTCCAATTCTCTCGTTTCTCTCTCCTGCGCAACAGGATCTGATGCGTGAGCTGATGGTGGTGCAGCTGCCGACGTTCTACTCGTTTCTGACGCGCAACGGCGGCGGCGGCGACCTGCTGTTCTGCCACCGCTGGCTGCTGCTCAACTTCAAGCGCGAGTTTGCGCACGCCGAGGCGCTGCGCGTGTGGGAGGCGTGCTGGGCCAGCCACCCACACTTCCCGTTCACCGCCTTCCTGTGCCTGGCCGTGGTGGCGGTGTACGGCGGCGAGGTGCTGGAGCGCCGGCTGCCCGTCGACGAGATGCTCCTGCACTTCTCGCGCCTCTCACACCAGATGTCCGTGGAGGTGGTGCTGCACCAGGCGCGCGCCCTCGTCCACCAGCTGGCCACGCTGCCCGCCATCCCGTGCCGCATCGTGGCCCTGCTGCCGCAGCTGCAGCAGCGGGCTGACGGTGGCAGCGGCAATGGCAGTAGCAGTGCTAGTAGTGGGTCGTTTGAGCTGACGGGTGTGCGCAAGACTTGGCGCTTTTCCTGCGAGGAGTGTCGCGGCAACGGGCCCTGCCATCGACGCTACTACGCATGATACATGCTCTAAGTGCGGCCATGTAAGGTGCTGCCAGCTACTGGGATACAAACTGCCGCATTGGGCCCTGTCACTGAGATAGTCATGCAGTGCACCACGTACATGTACGGTGTCCGATGGCATTGTCACTCCTGCCATCGACGCGCTACTACGCCTGATGCGCTCTCAGCTCAGCCATGTATGGTATAAGCAGGCTACTGGGATACGAACTGCCTCATCAAGCCCTGGCATTGACGCGGTCGTGTACCATGTACTATGCCCGGCAGTCCCTGCTGCCATCGACGCTACTGCACGTGATGCGCTCTCAGCTCGGCCATGTAAGGTATTGGTAGCTACTGGGATACAAAGTGCCACATCGGGGCCCAGCCAATGACGTGGCCGTGCACCATGTACTATGCCCGATAGCGAGAGTACCTGGGGTTCTGCACTATGCCCAATAGCATGGCCACTCCTGCCATCGACGATACTATGCGTGATGCGCTCTGGACGCGGCCATGTAAGGTATCAGCAGGCTACTGGGATGCAAACTGCCACATCGGGCCCTGCCAATGACACAGTCATGCGGCACGATTGTACTATGCCCGATAGCATTGTCGCTCTGTGTATGTTTGTATGCTTGTGTGATGGTTTCATCATCATAATAATAATAATATCTTTATTAGGATGACCCAGGTCACTTGCCAGTCCTTTTCGTTTTGTTCTTGTTTTCCGGCGCTTTCCGCTTCTATCTTCACGTTTTATCATTACAGCCATGGACATTGCACCTGGTTTAGTTTTTTATTTCTATTATTTCTTCCATAGTCTGCTCTTACTCCAGCATTTCTCTATTTATTCCAATGTCGTCCACCCCCTGGCCTTGATTTCTTGGATTTTCTTTGTTCTCGCCCCGGCTTTCAGCAACTGGCGCAGGGCTGTCTCTCTCTCCTCCCCCCCCCCCCCCTTGTTTCTCGTTTCCAATCAAGACGTTCTGTTCTTTGCTGCTGCCGCCGTCTGCTTAGCATTCTGCTCACACTTAGGTTCTTCTCCGATTCAATCCGATCTTGCGTTTCAGTAAGTTATTGTTGTTGTGGACCGAGACCCGGTTTTGCCACTCGTTATTGAGTCAGTCCTTCGTTGAATCCTCGCCCAGTACATGCAGTATGAGCTCGTGTATTTATCTTTCTCCAGCTGTGTGCTGATTTTTTTTGCTCCGGTATTCTTTCTTTACTACTCATGCCCCGGGCCCCGCTGTTCCTTATTTCGCCACTGCTGTTCACCGCTCATCTTACGTGTTACAGCACCACTCTTGGGGCCTACGCCAAACATTTGCAGAACGTAACTTGTAGCTTCTTGGTCCTTTTTTCTCTTTTCGTGCTCACTTTTAATCCAAGGCAGTCCAGCGCTTCTGTTGCAGGTCACGGGGCTTATATTGCATTCAACTTCAGCCTCCAGATTTTACCTTTGTCATGACCGTATCTGTCCACTGACTCAGAGTATTTTATGTTTGAGTACTGCTTACCCTTTTTTTTTAACCTCCGACTTTATCTTATCAAGATTGTCTACAGTACAACATCACTTTATTTTACTTTCATGTACGGTAATCTAAAAGACTTCGGGGTGCCTGACACCCTGTATGTAATCACGAAAGGCAAGAACCCCCCCTTGCTGATGAAAATACCTTTCATAAGGAATGCTACCTTTCATAACTATTACAATATTATTAGTTTGTGTCAGCCCAGTATGTTGCATAATTATACAGTTGACTCCACTTGTATCGAACTCGCATATACATTTGAAGTAGCATATATTATTAATTATGTTTGTGTCAGCCCGGCCAGCATGCTGCATATACAGTTGACTCCACTTATAACGAACTCGCATATAGCGAATTTCATGATAATTATTATAGCGAACCATTGTCCGTGTCCCTGTTTGAACCCACACAAAATTGACCTTTTATAACGAACAGCTTTCTGTTATAACGAACCAAATCTTGTAGGCAGGTGTACACCAAGTACACGCATATACTGTCATGGGCCACATATCAGTAAATCCGACTCAGGGCTTGCTGCTGGTATAGTGCAAGAGCATTTCTGATATGACGAACTTCGGCTATAAAGAACGAATTCCCCTGCACAATGGCGTTCGTTATTATGGATACGATCAAGAGAGTTAAAACCAAAAAAAAAAAAAAAAAAAAAAAAAAAATAAGGTTTATGTACTCTTGCATGGTACGATCAAGAGTACATGAAAACGGTTTCTTGGTACGATGCAGGATACACTCCGTGTGTGTGTGGGGGGGGGGGGGGGGGGGGGTACGAGCAGTCAAGCTCACCTTACTGTCTGTTTTTCTGCCTGCCCTCCCCCCCCCCTCTGTCTCTCTCTCAATGACAATACTGACAGTCTGTTAGACACTTCACGGCCGGCTGTGCACGTGAACACCAAAAAATATTCTCAACGAAAACTAGAAGAGAACAGAAAAAAGTGAAATCAGGATTAAAAAATCGGTAACACTGACGTGAAATTCAGCATCGCAAATGAGTGGCAACAGATGAGTACCAGCATAGAGCACCAGAAAAAAGTTCCCTAGGATAAAAATTAAAAAAAAACCCACAGTATAACAGGTGACACTGTACGACTGAGCAGCATGTGTAGCGCGCGTGGGGAAAGGAAAGCAAGTCTTGGCCAAACATCAGAAGGTACTCCTTGGATATTACAGGGTCCAACAAAAGATGTTTTCTATAAATCTGAACTTACAACTCTGATAGGAACAGACGCGACGGGTGAAATTTCATGCCGTAAATCTGAATCGATAGTGGTTGAAACTTGAAACGGTAAAAATTTGAGTGGGAATTTGAAATTTTGAGGTAAAAACAATTCTGAAAATCATAAGGCATGGAGTACACCGCCGGGTGACAGATACTAGTAGCCAGCTGTGCCCGGAGAAACAAAGTAAGACCCCCGGCTAGAAACGAGCAGGTAAACCGGCAGTAAACAACACAAGGCGAAGATCGGTCTGCAGGCGGTAAACACAGCCTATTGCGGGAACACACACACACACACACACAGATACACACACACACATGCGGGCAAGAAGAGGGAACCGCCCCGCGTGACCAACAAAATCATCTAGTCCGTGTGGTTGTGCTGCTTGTCCGACAAGCTGGAAGGCGCAGCACTGAAGTCGCGGAGAGCGTCACCGCCGGTTTCCTCACCCCGCTCACTTCCGCTATTTCTAGTGCCGCCACTCGACGCCGCAGCACTAGCAAACGGCGGAAATGCCACGGGCGTACCGCTATACGTGTTGTAACCGATCCACAAGACAGCAATGGGCACAGTCAGACCGCCGGCAAGTGCCAGCACAATACCCATCACGATGAGGAAGATCACAAACGCTATGCCGATAACGACTAGCTCGACGGCTAGCGCCATTATGAGGAGCGTGCACGCCGAGAAGAGCACGAACGAGAGAAACGTGGCGCTCGGTAGCGCGCCGCACACCACCGTTGCCAGGGCGAAGCTGGCGGCGAGCGGGTAGCGGCGGGCAAATCGCTCCAGGCGCTCTCGCGGCACGTAGCGCTGCGCGGCGTCCTGAGCTCGCTGCGACGTCTGCTGCAGGTAGCCGCGCGTGCAGCTGACGGCCTGGGCAAGGTAAGCCGTTGCCATGGTGTTGACGACGGTGTGGCGTGTGACGGTGTGCCGATACGGTACTGAGTCGATGCCAACAGCACTGGGAGTGAAGAGTCGGACGTAGAACGTCAGAACGTGCGACTGCATCGACAGACATGGACAGACAAGCGAAATAGCAAGGCTCAGAACTACAATGCGGGAAAGCAGAGTCGGAAGTAGAACGTGTGAGTGCATCGGCATAGACAGATAAGCACAATAGCAAGGCTCACAACTACAATAATTGCACCAGGTGAACTCCTTGCCTGCCTCAATACCCACACCCTGACTCCCTTTTTCTACTCGTGCACCACCCACTTTCAAAAAAAAAAACGTCACTGGTGAAACACCGCGTTATGATCTCCCGAATTCTCATGGCTTTGTCTCCTTGTATTTTCTGTTTCTTTATTGTCCTGAATGGCACAAGCGAAGTTTGCAAATCCGCTTACATTGCGAAGGTGCTAATAATACCGTAAAGTACCGCCAGGGTGCCCCGTCTCGCGAGAGCGCCCCACCTTGGTGTTGCAGCCAGGGAATTGAAAACCGTGTGGCAGAGTGCAACGAAGTGTGTACGGTCTGGTCACACTTGGCAGATTTTAGTGTGGAGCTCGTGTCCGCTAGAAGGCAAATTGAGTACATGTGCGTATTGACTGCATAACGTGTAATACTACAAACGTAGTATGTGTACACGGTTTGTGTCGTATGACCTACCGGCAGGAGGCCACCTCCACAATACGACCATGAAAGGACGAGATGGTGGGGCGCTCTGGCAGTGCTTTGCAGTAATAATAAATAGGTGAACTTCAATCCAGGCCCCGCCGAAACCGGTCCGGCTGGTCAGGTCATTGCAGGACCAACTGCTTGGCTGCTTGTGCGGAGGAGGGCATGTGTACCCGTCATATCATACGCAATGTATGACTGGCTATGCTATGGCCGGACTGGTCAAAAAACTGCTTCCGGCGGTCCTGCCATCTCAAATCGTGTGCAACCTGCCCGAGTGCTGCCATGTGTTCATGAGCGTGAATAGAGTGAATAGAGTTGTACTGGCAGACATGCAGGTGTGTGTTTTGGATACATGTAGTGGACAAAAGCTATAAGCACAATTCAATGCTCTAGTCTAGTGCTTCTCTTCGAACAGTGACAAGCATGAACCCACACAGAGAAGTAGCAACGATGCAGGAACCAACACAAGTAGTTCCTAGTACAGTACTCTTTAGCCTGGGCAATTGTGTATGGCTCTCATTCAGGATCCAGCTGTTGAACGAGTGACTTCTGCAGACTAAAACTCTACGATCACGTAGTTCCTAATACAAGCCCCTCGGGCTGCAGTAGGAAAACATTTTAAAATTTCTGCCTGTCTATGTCTAATAATTATGCTGTTTTGGACCCCGCAGCTGTGCCTTGTAGCTTATAACGTAGTTCTCCTATCACACACTGGTGTACTCACCTAGACCAATGTCGCCCTCTGTCGCAGACGTCTTCTCCCGGAGGGTACTCCTTGCTGAACTCACTTTCCACAACAGCTCTAGACAACTCAATCACAAAGGGATTCGAGCGTACACTCTTGTCTACCTTCAAAGATCAAAGCAAGGATGCTACGGACACGTCGGACCTCCGTCCATAAATGTGACTCAAGACACGTGTAAGATCCTTCGTATCCTCCACCAGCAACCAAAGAAACCATTATCTAGAACTAGAAGTGATTGATGGTGACAGTCGAGTCGGAGGGGTTCCGATTCCGAAGCTGCACTGTCGTGTCAAAGCAACAATTACATGAAGAACATACATGTGCAGGGGTCAAACAGGTTTTCATGCTTGGCGCTTGGGAAAAAGGCTTGATTTTTTGAATGGGCAAAGACTCATGACATGAGTCATAATCTTGCTGACGTGACTTCGTGAGGTCACCAACGCGTCATTTTAGTATACATGTACTAGTAATAAGTAGTAAATAGCTGATATAAAAGTGATAACAGATTTGCACGTTGGCTGCCAACAAAAATTAATTTTATTACATGTACCTGCACACATACACAAGGTCGTTGTTTTTTGTTTTCAAGACTCTGAACCCCGAGTATGCAGAAGTATTTGTAGGAAAAGTTCCTCTTGATACAGTCTAGTATCTTGCTCTGGTACCGCCATGATTTATTCCAGAGTCCCATCATATCTGTCAGTTTATGCACACTGCCCTGCATGCATACCGCGCTGCGTACTGTAAAACCGGAAAGTTCCACGTTTTCTTTTGTAAATTTTGGCATGGTAACGCGCAGAAAGTTTAACGATGGCTACCTGACCACCCATCTACACAGTATGCGCATCTTTACACAGACCATCTCAAACCGGGTTCGCGATAACGCTTCTTCAGATAACGAAAAATTGGTTGTTAAAACGTTCTAAAATTTTGTGACTCGTTTAGACTTTCCGGTTTTACAGTATTCAATAACATCCATAATTACCGGTCCACTACAGTCATACATGTACAGGACACAGTGCAGGTAACAGGTGCTGAGTCGTACCAAGAGCCATGCCAGTACGTGTACTTGCACACGCCAATCACGAGTTGCAGCCCTCGACAGCGAGACACGCACACATATTCTCCACTCGCCGCGGAGCCAGCAATATCCAACAACACTCGAACCCACAATGCAGTCAGCTTTCAAACTTCATTGTTGAGCAATGAAGTCGGTAATCATGATTTCGAAACGAAGAGTTAAAAGCAACTTTTTTTAATCAGCATGTTGATGAGACAGTCCAGGCAAGGGGGAAACAGAACTAAATGACATCAACAAAAAAGAACTACACATGTAACAAGATGCACTGGCGTGTTGGTTACAAACAAGTGCCTTGACGTGGAAATAACAACTAGCATGAGCAGCGGTCTGTACAGCATCAGAATTTAAGTTACAGACAGAGGTGCTCCGGCAACAGCACAGCATAAATTACGGCTGCTGAAGCACAACCCCAAAGTGACTGTGCTAGGATTGGACCTACACTGGTCGGCAAAAAGGACACGCGCTCACGCACACGCACACACACACACTACTTCAGTAGCCAGCTAACGGTAGCACACAAAGCAAGCAGAGCACTAGCGGGACAAGCTGACACGTCTTTTTCGGGACAAAAAAAAACAAAATAACGACTTCCGTGCCAGCACGCAAGTTGACCGAAACTAGATGGCCTGTTCAAGTTTCCTGTAGAAGAAGATGCACACACGTACACACACACAGACACAAACATACAGTCAGACCTCGCACAACCGCACACATCTGTATTCCACAAAATATCCGGATAGGCGAGGGAACCGGATAATCGAACACACATACTGTATGTATGCATGGCAAATGCTGTAGATCGGTATCCAGCGATTTTCTTCCGGATGCCGATGGATCCGGATAAAAGAGGACCGGATAAGCAAGGTCTGACTGTAGTGCTAAGTACATCGCACAAGGAGATGCAGCCTGTGAACGTGCAGCAGGGTTCTAGCCAAGGGGGGGGGGGGGGGGGGGGGGTAGGGGGCGCAGCGCCCTTCTACTCCGATTGATCACCCCCCCCCCCCCCCCCCACCACCACACTCTAAATTTGTCGATTTCTGCGTAGTTTCATATCATTCAACGAACATGCAGTCGATAGGTACTACTAGAGGGTTCAAAAAGGCACATTTGTCTGGGGTGAAGTCGGGGGTTCGCCCCGTACGTTGCATTTATTATTATTATGAAAATGACCCAAAGCCAATATGCCTATCGAGGGGTTCATTTTTGATTGATGATCATTTGATTGAAAGATAATACTATTTGGCATGGCAAGACAATTTTGGAAAATGGAGAATGGGTTACGGGGTAACCCCCCCCCCCCCCCCCCTCCGCCCTACTATTTTGACCTGGCTGGAACCCTGTACAGCGAAGCTTGGATATAACGACACACCAGCAGGCAAAACAAATTCCCGAGGTAATTCAGTACGTACAGCTGATCAACGGGCAACATATTTCTGTTGTTACAACCAAGCTTCAGTGTACAATGAAGAAAGTGTCTGCTCCAAACGTCGGAGCTCGCGCTTCCTGCCGACTGACTTGACACTTGACTTATTTAGATGTTCAGTGTACAATGTTAGGAAATATGAGTTACCAGTACGTACAGTGGGGGAAAAGGCAGGGGGGGGGGGGGGGGGTTAAGACTACGAAACAGCCTGTACCACCGAAACTGTGAACTGCACTAACTTGAGTGCACAGTATGTAAGGGCTACATCGTTGCCACAGCAAATACTGTACAGTCGTGTATAAAAGCAGCGGCTTATATGACTGTTTTAGAGAAATTTCGCAGGCTTCTATATACAAGATAGGCTTATGTGTGAATCGTAGCACCGGCATTCTGGCTCGTTGAATACCGGTATCACCAATATCACCGGCACCACAGCCATTTCAGCACAACCGGGTTTGTTTACACATCTTTTTCTACATATTTCTTCTGTTGATATCTGATTTACTTTGAAGTACGTCACGAGTTCACAAGCACAGGCGGCTTATACATGCGACAGTCGCTGTAGTGCAGCCTTTAGGATCTACTGATCGAGGACTGGGAGTGAGGGTAGTGTGACATTTTGAAGGTGAGGCTACTATACAAAGGCGGCTTGTGTGTGATTTGATGTTTCCAAAAGTGCGGCTTAATAATAGTTGAGGGCGGCTTGTATTCAAGTGCGGCCTTTAGACAAGACTTTACAGTACGCAAAAGAACAAACTGCGGTCAAACATCTTGATCACGTGAACAGAGACACACAGATTCTAAGCTTCGGTTTTACGAACTATCCACAGATTTTTAAAACAGGGGCTGATCCCAATGCATTCAGGGAACTGACGCGCCCCTGCGGAATATATGCTCACCAGGGAGTGGATGGACATGAATGAGATCATAATACTCGAAACGTTGTACGCGTCGACATCGACTTGGAAGTTCTACGTGATCCGAGGTATATGCAACTCATGATTGCGATCGTGGCCTTGACTCCCTGACCTTACAAAGCAGCCCAGGCAATGCCGCAGCCATCTTGTATAAATTGGCCCTGCCCCAACGGCAACTGGAATGTGCAGCCCGGGGTTAAAACCCACATTATTTGGCTTTACAGTCGCCAGTGTTATCTCCCTGTACGCTACGATTTCCTGGTGAACAAGAATCTGTATCTGGATCTCTCTTTTACTTGGGTATCAATAATACTCAATTTTTTTATATAATTTCATGCAGAAGACCGAAGTTGGGAAATTCAAACGTTCTCACCTGAAATTAGTCATCATCGTCATCGTCTGGAACGAAGATATTGAGGTCTTCAAGCATGATTGCTCCCTGCTTGGAGATGTAGCCGCCTAGCAAGACACTGGGTGTAACTACAGCGGTGACGAACAGCAGTCCCACAGCACTGTAAGGCTTCTCAGGAGCTGACGGCACGCTGTTGAATCGGCGTGCACCGCTCTGGCCTAACCTTTGCAGCTGCAGGGCTGATCTCGCCGCCACCAGCGGCACTGCTCGACGCAGCAATGGCAGCATGGCTACGAAAGAAGAGCTCAAAATGCAGACTGCAAATGTTCGAACTCTTCTTTTCGTTGATCAAGCATGCAAGCTCGGACGACCCAAGCAAAACAGACAACGCCGAGCCCACCTTCAAAAATCCTTACCGTACCATCGTTCAAATCCTCAGTAAACTCCACAAACCGTACAGTCCTCCGCAAAATGTAGCGCAAAATGACAAAGTCTCAGTGTATTCCGCAAAAAGCAGCCCTCAAATCCGATAAGTTGTGGATTTGCGCAAGATCGGTTGCGGCAACCAGCCGATCTTTCCTTGACTCGTTCCGAGGCTGGTGAGCACGTTCCACCTGATGTCAGATCTTGAGTTGAGTGCAAGATCTGTTTCAGAGTTTGTTTCTCTCTGGTTTCTCTGACTCGGTCACAAACAGTGCTGCCTCTGCTTTCGAAGAAAACTGTTTCATCTTTGCAGGACTGACGTCCTGTTTTCTTGCTGGCCTATGGGCTTGTAATGTAGTCAGGGACAGGGGATGACCTAACAGAATGGCACAGGGAGTTCTAGCCTTCGTTCGAGGCATTGACCTGACTCGAAATGAGTTTCAGGTAAACTAGTGGCACATTTGCGATGGCTAGATAACAAATAGTGGATACTCACGACCTTGTTGGCTTGCTGGCCTTGCATGTGTGTTTTGGCATATGGTAGGAACGCACTGTGCCGGAGCAGTTTCAGGATTTGGGTAGTCTCAGATGGCTTCGTCTAAACCACTCGACCTTGGAGAGTCTACCTCCGCAGATTGCCAAATTGAAGAAATTGGTGAGTTGTGAATGAAATAATTGGAGAGAGCCTACTCGCGAATAAGCTAGGCACTCTATATCCAGCGCAGTAGAGCCTCAGGGACCTGAAGTTTGTGTACGCGGATGAGCTATCGCTCGCCCTGATGAGTACCGAAGTTTCCCATTTTGACTTTGAATTTGGTTCGTTTTGAACACTCTCCCACGTGCACTGATTAATGTGGTACACTAATTAGTGGAACAAAATAAGTACATGACCGTATAGGACTTCCACAAGATGTACATGCAGTCGCTTTCTTCTCGGTTGTTCATGTTCAGCCAGGGAAGCGAAGTTAGAGCTCACTGTTGTTGAATGAACTACTTGCTGACCTGCACACCTGAATGCAATGGGCACATGAATTGTATTGGTCCATGCACATGCACATGTAATACATACCAATACATACCAATGAATGACACATCTTCACTGTTCATGATGTTCTGCCAACTGCCTGTCACACGGTGGTGTTATTTCAGTTTCCGACTATTTGGGGAGCCAATGCCATTAGTGCTAGGGTTGTGCCTGGCGTTTTCACGTTCACATTATGGTCGTGTACGTTGTGGTGGTGAATAGCTCGGTGTCATGCATGCAATGCTGTCAAGTCCATGTATACAGCTTGTGTTGCGTCTCATGTGGCTCGTGTGGTATGCATCAGGCCGTACACTGGCCTGTATGTGAAGGACGGTGTGTGATGTGTGTGTGTTGGAGCTAGTGTGCGTGTACACCGTCTTTACTTATCCTCACCACTGTGCGCACGTGTGTGTGTGTGTGTGTGTGTACGCGCGCGCGCGTGCGTGTACATGTTGGGTGTCCGTGACTTTGCCGTTGTCATTCTGGCAGGAACACATACACATTGCTCACAATCAGATGAAGGAACTCACGAATGCGCTTGTGCTCTTGCCGCGACTTCGGGTAAGTATCAGTGTGCGAGTATTGACCAGTTGCACAGTAGAAATACAGTAAAACCTGTGACTAACGACCACCCCTTGGGGCCAGAGAAAGCGGTCCTTAGTGGCAGGTGGTCCTTAGTTAGAGGTTTGCACGGCACAACCATAATATGAATGTGAGACTGTCCGTGCCTGGCGAAGTGGTCTGTAGTACCAGGCTGGTCGCTGGTCACGGTGGTCTGTAGTACCAGGCTGGTCGCTAGTCACGGTGGTCTGTAGTACCAGGCTGGTCGCTAGTCACGGTGGTCTGTAGTACCAGGCTGGTCGCTAGTCACGGTGGTCTGTAGTACCAGGCTGGTCTCTAGTCACGGTGGTCTGTAGTACCAGGCTGGTCTCTAGTCACGGTGGTCTGTAGTACCAGGCTGGTCTCTAGTCACGGTGGTCTGTAGTACCAGGCTGGTCGCTAGTCACGGTGGTCTGTAGTACCAGGCTGGTCTCTAGTCACGGTGGTCTGTAGTACCAGGCTGGTCTCTAGTCACGGTGGTCTGTAGTACCAGGCTGGTCGCTAGTCACGGTGGTCTGTAGTACCAGGCTGGTCTCTAGTCACGGTGGTCTGTAGTACCAGGCTGGTCTCTAGTCACGGTGGTCTTTAGTTACAGGTTTTACTGTAGTACCAGGCTGGTCTCTAGTCACGGTGGTCTTTAGTTACAGGTTTTACTGTATAATAAAATATGGTCACATGATCTTCAGCAGCATTGCTTTCTTGTAATAGGGGTGATCCTATTCTGTTGATCAGTGCACACGTTCGCAATGTAAGGTGTGCCGTGAAAGGGGCCTTCTGAAGATGTTTGTATTCAGGTGGCACAGCAGCCGTGAGTGACCTATTCATGATGAGTACGGGGATGCCTGGCATAGCGGTCCTGTGCATGTGTTGTCGAAGCCTGCACATGCACGAGTGTGCACGCACCCGCACACCCACACACGGCATCCATTCGCTCAATGTCTCGCTGCGTCTCTCTTCTTGTGTCCTCTTTCTGTCTCGCAGACAATCAATGCACGGTATAATGAACTGACAGATGAAGGTATTCCAGAGCAGCTGTTTGCGCTGGACGAGTTGTCTACGGTGGTAAGTTACAGGTCCCTTGAAAAGTTGTCCAGTGCTGTGCTTGCAATGGGGATGCTGCTTGCTGATGTGAGCCCAGGTGTGTAGCCTGCATGGGGCACGGGGGGGGGGGGGGGGGGGGGGGGGGCATGTGCTCCCCCCCCCCCCCCCCCCCTAAACATTTCGACCTAGGTTCAGCATGCACATAATGCCCATGATGACATGCACCAGCCATCCTACACGTATGAGCTATGGTAGATGTACCGGCCGTGCACCCCCCCCCCCCCCCCCCCCGCGCAAAGAGGGACCAGCTACTCCCCTGGTGCATGTACCGGAAAGCTGTTGTTTTAGTTTGTATCTCATAAACATAGTTTCTCTTCCTGTGTTTGTCCTTGGTACAAACTATCACCCCTGTAGGACCATGTGACTTAGGGTAAGCGCTCTTTATTTCAGTTTCCGACACAGGGGATTGTGACACCCCTATTTTAGTGCCTTGTGCAGCTTTCAGTCAGTCAACGCTAGTGCAGTCATGTTACCGCTTTTGTCTCGTCCGCCTTTCATTTCTCTCTCTCTCTCTCTCTCTCTCTCTCTCTCTCTCTCTCTCTCTCTCTCTCTCTCCTCTCCATTCCCTTACCTCTACTCTTCTCCTCCTCTCACAGGACTTCAGTCACAATGCTTTGGACAATGTAAGTACATGCACTTGTAAAACCTGTGATGGTAATGTGTCTAACATGACCAGCCCTGTTTTCGAGCATTCCCCAAGTCTACGCTGTACATTCAGGGCGGACATTGGAATAAAAACATAAAATAAAATAAGACAACAACAACACATGGAGCGCAACGCCACATAGCACGGCATGGGGTTGGTAATCTGAGTATCATGGCGCCGTAACCATCTTCCAGCAACTGATAAAGTTTGTGTTCGCTGTATGAGACAAACCGAGGTGTCTTAAACTGACCAGCTTAGACAACAGTGCGGTAAACTGCCCCATGTTCACCGCATATCAATGTTCGCTATTTTCGCGAGAATAGCGTTATGCGAATATTGACCAGCGTGAAAAAATGCGCAGCAGTGGTTGCATGTGTGTGCTATAGTGCTTCACGGGCATTTGTCACCGTATACTCGCTGGTTCTGAGAAATCACGAAAATTTAGCAACACGAATATTGGCTGGTTTATAGTATACCCAATAGTCCATGACCCCAAGAGTGTGCAACTGGGGTCTGGCTGCTTGCCCACTGCGCGGCGGAATTCCGACATTACGTCATGCCGCTGAGGCACAGAGGCCAAAACTCTGCATTCTGCGGTGCTTGGAACCAGGGAGTAGTGCAAGCGCAACGAAATGTACCTCATTTTTGACGTAATGTTGGAATTCCGCTGCGCCGATCCCCATGTATAGAGTTGCACACTCTTGGGGTTAGGGTCTCTTGGTATACTCAAGAGTACATAACCCCAAGAGTGTGCAACTCCAGCTATGGGGTCTGCGACGGCAGAACTTCACATCACGTGATGAACCCGTGCACTCTACTGCATGATAGATACTGGGTTGTACGCAGCCCAGCTTTGGGTACAACTCTCTTGTGGTCACTTTGCACTGTTTGCCAGCATAACCTTTTGAACCATGTCACGTGATGTGAAGTTCTGCCGTCGCAGCACAGCATAGAGGTTGTGCAGGCAGTTGCACACTCTTGGGGGTTATGTACTCTTGGTATACTATAGTGAGCAATTGGCTGGTTTCTGACAACTGCAGTTGATTTCTCATTGCTACCGCCTAGGCGTGTACCTTGTGCATGACAACACTGTAAGATGTTTGCTGTTTGTGTCGTCTTCTCCCCGCAGATCCCGGAGAATCTGGACGACGCGCGGGGTCTGCAGGTGCTCTCGCTCAGTAATAACCAGTGAGTTTTGCGCGTTGCTATGCAGCTCTGGAGTTTCATTATTTCGGTGAATTTGTGAGGTTTTTCACTACTGTTCATGGCACTGCGAAGTCCTGTTTTTGGCGGTTGGGGTGCTGGGGTTCTAATATTATTTTTTCTAATTGTGTTTCTTTAAAAAAAATCATGATGGTATGATGTGAACGTTATTTAATTGCCTCGCACAGTATGCTGTGCCGTGGACGGTGCTACCCGCTGTATTAGACGACGGTACCCTCTCTCTCTCCCTTGGCCCTGGAAATATCCTGGTAGTGGTCTTTACCGGGACCGGGTGAATTGAGCATTGTGAAATTTGAACCGACTGCCCAACAATTTGTTTTGTTTCTATTTATTTCCTGTCCAGGATCAAAGAGTTACCCAAGGCGGTGAGTAAGGGGCGTCCGTAAATATCGAACTTTTTTCACCAAACGAATTATTTTAGTTTAGACCCAACCCCTCCCTGCCCCCCCCCCCCCCTCAGAACGTAAAAATTGTTGACATATACATGCATATACAACAAAAGTCGCAAGTGTGTCACTGCTCCTATGGCCATGTACATGTATCGAACTTTTCTGAAACGAAATTGGTCAACCCCCTCCCACCCCATAACGAAATTATTTCGTTTCGTGAAAAAAGCTCGATAATTATGGGCGACCCCTAAGGCCCGTCATGCTGATGGTGAATTTTCTGTTGTCCATGATTGTACTATCAAGAATACTTTAAAAGCCTGAGTGTGTTCAACTCCGAATACGAGTTCAGGAAAGCGGAATCTGTCCTCTAGATCATTTTGACGAGTTGTACTGGAAGCCGCAATGCACGACTGCAGTCTTGCTCTGGATCAGTACAGCGGATGATGCTGGTTTTACTATGCCATGGCTGGTGTCACGATTACACGTGATGTTGTGTGCAGTGATTGTCCGCCAACTAGAACCTGGTATTGGATTGTAGGATTATGAGATAGTTAGTGTTATTTAATCTTCTTGGCGTCTCTCTCTCTCTCTCTCTCTCTCTCTCTCTCTCTCTCTCTCTCTCTCTCTCTTCCCGGCTGGTTACACAGCTCTTTGTGGAGCTGAACGACTTGCATCACTTGGACCTGAGCAATAACAAGCTGGAGACGATTCCACCTCAGCTACGCCGATTGCACCATCTCAACACCCTGGTAAGAGACTGGCACTGAAGCATGTAGCAATATCTGTTGGTTTCGAAGTTTGTCCTTTCGTGATCACGAGTTACGAGACCTAGGTGGTACATTTGCTCTCTCTCTTTTCCAAAATGTTGAAATGGTCTTTTTTTGTACCTAGCAGTGTATTAGTGCCGAGGAGGATGATACACAACCAATAGCATAGTTCTATTTGTCCTCTCATTCCTAAATCCGATGTGTTTTCATTTCGCGTTTCACTGTCCGTTGTAGAATCTGGCTAACAATCCGCTGGCTCAATCGAAACTCCGGTAAGCATAGTGTGTTGAATGTGTTGCAGTGTACGCTCATGGCCAACACTATCCTATGCCTGTAGGCTGTTATGGAGAGAGTACGGAAATCAGTGTGTGCAACGCCGCGTATGGGTTTGGGATAGCGTCATTAATTTTTTTCATTTCCGTAGTTTCTGACGTCAAGATATTCTATAGCGTCTATGTTTGTATCTGCATCTGTTTGTCTCCAGAGCGTTGCGCCACCTCAACTCACTGACCGTGCTCAACCTCTCCGGAACCCAGGTAACCAACATGCTCTCATCGTGCTCAACCACATGTAA